AAACACATGCTGACATGCATATGTGTACAGTATTTTCAAGTTTGTCTTTAAAATACCAACAAAAATATATCAATGTGAGGATTATCAGAGAAATTTTTATTATTTTCTCTACTATCAGTAAAGTAAAATTTTAATGAACCTTGTCTTCGTGTGAAAATTTTAAATCTTAAGACTAATTCCATGCACTGTACTGTACAGTATACATGTAGACTTTATCTTTCTTTCAGAACAGGTTTAAGAATTATCAAAACACAGGTAGTGTACAGTAATATCAAATTCTGCAAATACTAACTGTACCAGTAAAGTACAGTACGTATACAAAAAATATTACTGTACTGTCAAGAAGACAAAATTAATGCTGGGGCTGAAGAACTGTACAGTATCGTATTAGTAAAAATTTAAAATAAGTCCCATGGGCATGACTGCCCATTAAAACAAAGAAAATATTGACAAAAATTAGTTATCTGCTTTAAATTAATTTTGACCTCTGTTCTTCATTCACCAAAAACAACCTCTGTCAATAAGATGTAGGAAGACGTTGTTATGACATGCTATACTGTGCCTACAAATAACTTATGATTTACTGTAATTATATTTCTATCTGAATCTGTGAAGCAGGGAACAGCAATACTGCTTATATCTAAACAAAATTGGTTTTCTTTATTATTTAACAGTTATTAAACTACAACATTTAACATAGTAAAGCTAACTTGTAATATACTATTGTATTATCATATTTAAATAATCTTTTAAAGGATTCATTCACAATAATTTCACTCTAAGCATTTAATAAAGCTACAACCTTAAACATTACACTAGATGTGATAACTGGCCCAGGGTAATTAGTACTACAGGTTGGACTACGCTAATCCGGGACCGGATAGTCCAGCAGCTTCGATGGTTTGGGACGGTGTCATTGCTCACTTCTAGTGGCTGTTGCCACTATTTTAACTTTAAATATTTTTAATTTACCCCTAAATATGCCTCCTAAAAAACCAACAAGCAGTGGAAAAGGTTGTAATGTGGCGAAACATAAGCAAATGACTAACTATTTTAAAAAAGGTGTCTTTACTGTTCTGAAGAAATTAGACAGTGGTACATCGGTCAGGGTCTTATGTGCAGAATACATGGTGTAGTGTGGGCTAGATTTATGCTGTTGTAAGTTGCATTGTACCAGTAATAACACATTTTATGCATTATTTTGCCTTTTTTTTTAACCTCGGCTTTGATGGTTCGGAATTTTTGCTAATCCGGAACCGGTCGGGTCCCAAGCTTCCCAAGTTAGCGAGGTCCAACCTGTACGGAACTAGTTTGGAAAAAATTCAAGTCAGAGAAAGTGCTCCCTTTATCCCATATTCTTCACTTTGGTTATTTAAAATATGCACTGCCCACATACTTTTTTGTGAGTTTGTAGCTTCTGTGAATATTCTGTTGTACTGTACTGTACTGTATGGCATTAATGACAAGGAAAATGATACAGCATCTGCATGTTACCATATCATGTACCATTACCTGTCTAGAGAAATTTAAAAAAATGTGCCTTTAATCCCTAATATGCTGTAAAATTACTGAAATACAGTAAGCAATAAATAAATGAAATGAGTGTAGGATTTGATTGAAAGTGTCAGTCTAGGGTGTCTGAGAAAATGCACGAGATTCAAGTTTTGAGACGTATTGGTTTCATTTTATAATACAGATTGGCCTCCACAATTGTGGGTGATAATACGTGTTCCTTGTCTAGACTGTGATTGGAGGATCTATTGTAGGATGGTGGGATAGGGTATATATTCCTGGACCATTCAATGTTTACCCCAAAGTCATATAAATGGACACAGGAATGTCCTTTTATACAATATAACCTGTAACTAGAGCAAAGAAAACAATAATATATATAAAAAAAACTAATTAGTACGTGCATTGTAAAAGCCTCATAAATAAATGCCTACATTGGGAGATAAATGTGCTTACTGCAGTTACAAGATAGCATGAACAGTGTAGACAGTACTTTCTTGGGTAGCACTATTTATAATAATATTATTATTAATATAAGGTATATTATCATCGTTATTATAATCAGTGAATAAAATGTGATAAATATTAATTCCAAACTCATATGAAGTAATGTCCTGGTTGCCTTAATTCACCCCTTCACCAAAAACCTGTGAGAATTAACACCATGGGAGAGGAAGTTGGTTTATTTTACTATACCACAGGAAATGGAAACTGATTGAGGAGACTATGACTGGGGAGGGAGACCTGTAACTGACATATATTCATGCATACGGTATGCATAATATATTTTTATAATACAGTACTTGTATTTTAAAAGATTAACATGCTAATGCTGTAAGTAAAGATTTTTGTCACAGGTCAGTATTTTGTAATGCAAATACTGTATGTAAATGAAAAGAAATAACTTTTATTGACAGAATGGGTCATAGACATGAGAAGTGCCCCCAAAATGGAAGCAGCAGATAAATCCATACTGGATGACTGTTGCTGTGTTTATTTATTTGTCCGTTACAGTTTTATCACAAACATAATTACTGTCAAATTGTTCTCCAAAAACACTTCGAAGAGTATGATGTACAGTACATTGCTTTGTGGTGTTGATGAACTTGGCTATTGAAGAAGGTTCCCTGCCCCTCCTGCTGTTTCCCTGAGTGAATAGGCATGATTGCATAACACACCGTCGGAAACAACAGGATAAATGAAAAACACGAAGTCGGAGACAACGGATTAAGTGAAAACACATACAGAGGCGGGAATGAATCAGAGGCAGCACGCAGAGCCCTCTCGTGGCAAGAATTCGAACCATATCACCACCCGCCAAATTCAAAACAGCTCAAAGAATTATAACTAGCTTTGGTAAATATCTATTGGTTTTGATTAAACATTTGCATTATGTAAAAAAAATGCACATATTGAGCCCCATAACTAAATAAAATTACTGACAATGTAAGTTTAGACTGCATATGAAATGTTATTTTCCCTGGAAGTCATAAGTACGATGAGTGATTCCATAATACAGTACTCCCTCAATTCTATTATTTAGCATCAGTATAAATATACAATCGTAAGCTAATATAAAAACAACATGGATATGCTGCAATGAAACAAAATGTATTTCATGAAAAGATGAGATCACAATTTTATGTTCAAATTTGGGAAGTATGGCTCTGCTTTGTTGAATTACAGGTACAGTACAGTACTGTAAAGTCCTCAATACATTTATTGCAACCAATCACTATTTACCAACTTCTTTTCGACAAGTGTGTTAGGGATTCTTAACAAACAATGACTGCCAATCATGCTTTTTAAAATCAAGTGTGAAGAAGCTAATCTCCTTTGATTTGTTCATTAACTGGCCAGTAATAATTGCAGAGCATACATAGTCAAGACAAGTAATGTATATGGTATGTGTAATAAGGGAAAGAATAACAAACCCTTGCATACAAACCCTTAGTACACAAGAGCCATAATTTGACCATTTTAGGGCATTTCTCTATTTTGTAATTCTCTGAGTACTACTTGCGGGTATCATAATGGAAACCAATACGTATATATACAGGCATCCCTCGCTATCCAAATGGGTTAGGTTCTTTGAAAGCCCTTCAGTTATTGAATATTCTGATAGCAAATAATGTATTAAAAGGGAAAAGTTGGGTTTGTGAGTGACTAATAATAATAATAATAATAATAATAATAATAATAATAATAAATACATTACAGGTACCTTATGTTGGGGGTTCCCCCAATCCTGACTCTTGGTTATCTCCAGCTTGGTTTCAAACATCACAGGCTTGGTGATGGGGGTAGTAGAGGAATCATTGCTATGCTTGAATGCCAGTGCATACAGATTTATTAAAAGATTACTGTACATAAATTGACAGATAAAGAGAGAGCACGTCACTAGCAAATGGAGAATGAGGGGATGTGGGAGGAAGCAAGGGGTGATGTCATGTGTCTCGAGTGAGAGTACGTTCCTGTGTGTATGGTGGAGTAAAATGGCTGCCCAGCTACCTCCCAGGCCATACCTGTCTCGATTTGAATTTTCGTTCAGTCCAACTTTTGGACAAGCGAATGTCACCTTTAGATAGCAAGGTGAAGTATAAGAATAGAGAATTCAAACAAGCAAATATTCAGATAGCAAAGGATACCCGTGTAAAACTGAGAACCATGATACTGTATTATATTGTCATACCGATACAATATTTATGTGTAAAATGTTATTAATCGGTACAGTAGTGCGAGAAAAGCTTTGTGGTCCTTGTTGAGGAATGAAAACTCATTAAAATAAGTTGTGAGTGAGAGGAGAGATAAGGTGTCTACATAGAGGTATTATTTCATTAAAATTTTGTTTAAAACTACTCACAAAAGGAGTGTTGAAAGGGTCGAGTGTATTCAGCGCTTTAACTTCACACCACTCTCAAATACAATGTACATAAAAGTACAAATTATACATTTTTAATTTAGAAATTGATCTGAGAGAAGTTTCAAAAGCAGTATCTTCATTTTGTGTTAGTTATAAATGACTGCCTTAATGTGACATTTCTCAAGGCTGGTGTACACTGCCAGTCATGAATAAAAAACATGCTGAAATTCTAGTTGCACATACAGATATGTAAAATCAGCAATGTGTAGTCTCATCAATATCACTGCAAGCCAAGAGACAGTGTAAATTAACTATTTCTTTTCTTTTCTTTTCTCCACTGATCGGCTAGTTAGCCGCTCGGGCGATCGGTCACGTCCGTTACTTTTCTTTTATCCTCTTCACCAATTGATCGGAAGCTCGCCCCACAAGGGGCCACAGCTCAAGATTGAAGAAGCCGAAAGTCCAGAAAACTGTGAGGGAAAGCTTTTTCGGAGTGAGAGTTGTGAACTCTTGGAACAATCTACCAGAAAGTGTTGTGACGGCACTGAGTGTGAGTTTTTCCAAGACCAGACTTGACCAACACTGAAGCAGGTTCAGGTACATTCAGGAGCCGGTGCATGCCCAGTACCTGCCAACAGTGGGTAACAGAGAGCCAGTACATGACTAGTACTTGCCAACAGTCTGTGACAGAGACGTGACCAAGCGGCTAACGAGCCGATCAGTGATGAAGAGGATAAAAGAAGAGAAAGATTTGAACCCAATTGGTCTTTTCCACTCACTCCATATGCCCAAATCATCACAGCTTATTTCTCCTGCACCATGAGTAGGAATTGTTTTTAACAATGTGACACTGAAAGATTGGAAACCCTATTCTGAACTAGGAGGACTGCTGGATATTTAGAGTACGTACTGTATTTTTAATATCCAGACACTCTTATCGCTCAGAACAGGATTTCCTATCTTTCAGTGTTATAATGTTATAAGGAATTATTATCAATGGTAAAGATAACAACAAATAATTAGAAATTTCAAGTCATTAAACAGTACAGTATTTGGTAAAAGTTCATTCACATCTTAAAAGAAAAATTATGAAATTTTGCAAAAACTTAAATAAACTAATAGGCCAACATATGTTTTGCAATAATTTATTCTAATTTTATTCTCAGTTTTACCCAAACAGTAAGTTTTTAATGAATGCAAGATCAGCAGCTTTACCTTTTTTGAAGTTGTTACCTCCACTGATAGTAAATGTGCTATTTATTAAAGACCATTTTTTACTGCCATATAGAACTACGGTAGTACTGTGTATAGATACAGGCATATCGAGTACCTGTATTATAAAACACCGGTATATATTTTTGTTTCTTTACTCCCTCATGCTGTCCTGCTATATTAACACATTTACATCATGTTTTATTATTTGGCAGTGATATATTTTGGGCACCTCTCAGTAGTGCTATTGAGAATAAACATAAACGTAATGTTCACTACCATTAATACAGGTGTTATAAATCTTTATTTTATATACCCAACACACTGCATCCATAATATTTATGATTAATTGAAATTTGAAAATATATTGGTTTTATGTTTCCATGACTTAAGAGCCAAGTCAAATACATAAAATAGTTTAGTTTTATTTGTTTTTCTGAGAAGTTTCCTGCCGTTCACAGACATCAATTTCTCCAAGGCTAAGTGCTGCATTATAACCTTGCATAAGTGCTAGAACAGACTTCAGAATTCCAACGGGTAGCAAACCAAAGGACATTATACGCCAAAGACCAACACCTGCAATAATGGGCCCTTCAGTAAAGTGAAGAAGGTAAAGTGCTGAATAAAAGAGTTCATTTCCTGCACACATAATGAAGAGGACTGGGCGGGAAGAATAATATATGCGCAGAATAGGGTTGTGATTAGCTTCCTCTCCTTTGTGGCTAGAGCGGCCAGCCATCACAGTCCTGCAACGAAAGTAAATACTGTACTGTACCGTACTTTATCAGGTTTATGTTTGTTATACCTGTAGCATATATTTTTTACCATTTCTTCATAAATAACAACACAGTAAAATTAGTCGCTGGTACAGTAATACACATGCTCAGACAGCATGCAATAAGTACAGTAATGTAATAAAGAAGACTGAATATTCAACTAGTACTGGTTCACTCAATGAGCATGTCCATGATACGTAAAGCACAAATAATTCTACTGCACAAATTCAATTGTTATTGAAGCCATTACAATAAGTAATAATGCTATTTAGGTTATCCTACTTAATATGATCAGTTTTATATCCTCAAGGTAGAGTTCAGCTGTCGACAATAAAGGTCATAATAAAGAACAGACCAACCACGCAAATGGCTAATAAGCTGTTAAGTGGTGAAATAATAAACAAATTGTAAATAGCATTCATATTATTCATATTCAACATATGTACGGTACTGTACTCTCAATCTTCAGTTAGAACTCATCCCTAAAAAGGTTCATGTGTATGATATTAACCCCTATTTCCTTTAATGAGAGAACTAAGAAAATACAAAACTATTTTATATGTACATTAAGCAATTACTGATTACCAAATTTATCTACAGTAGTAAAAAATCTTACGTGTGGAGATGGAGCCAGTGGCAGGATATATCAATGGTCATGGAGAGCTGAAACAGGAACATGTACTGAGGGTAGAAGTGACTCAGTGTCACTAACAAGCACATGGTACCACAGCGGTCAGTCAACATGTCCAACATTGCACCAAATTTTGTGCCTGGAAAAGGTTGAACAAACATTTAAAGTAAAAAAAACATTGAGGCACTGTAATAAGAAAATGTTAAGAACTAAATCTATACAGTACAGTATAGCATTGTCATTTAAAAAAAATAAAAATTAAAAATCTTCACTCACTGAAACTAAGCTTTTGATGGATACATATGGTTTATGCATCGAACTAAACAACACAGTATTAGCCATCCAGCAGCAGCAGCTTCCTTCTCATAAGTCAGTTATCATCATGTACATACACAATAATTTATTTTTTCATGAGTATTATTTGGACAAATGGTAGCAAAGGAAATACAGGGTCAGAGAGATAACTGTACTCCCAACATTTTGTCACAAAAGGACTCGGAGAAAGTCCATTGTGACAAAACATCAGGAGTAGAGTTGTCTCTCTATCTTGTCTTTCTTTTACTACTACCTGTACTATATAACCATTAATCTTTCATTCTTGGTGAAACACAGATTGCCACACCTTCATAATTTGTATTTATTCTAGACCACACCAACCAATCAATAATTCCTCTCTCCAGTTCCAAATATAGGTACAGTACATATAACCATCCGCCTACAATTTTTTTAAATTACCTTACCAATAAATCAAAACTCATAAGAAAATTGGAAATACTGTACAGTACTGTACTATACCTTGATTAAGAAGTCTGGCAGCATGGCCATCAAAAGCATCCAGGAAGCCAGACAGAATGTACATTGCTGCTGCCATAATATAATTGGTGGGCATATAGTAGAATGACAACAATGCCAATATGATGCGGCCATAACCTGCAAGAGAAGATCGTCATTAATGACTTCACATGATCATTTAGCTGTGAATGACTTCACATGATCATTTAGCTGTGTGTGTGTATGTTCCTTGTGTATTTCCAATTTTATGGACAGAGGGCTGAAATTTGATAGGAGGTGCAGGTAACCAAGGGGGGGGGGGGTGTTCATGCATTATCTCCTGTACTTCCATGAGGGGTCATGGTCTAACTACTGAAGTCACTTCTTAAGTAAATTCATAGTCATTTTTTCTTTGCTCCACTAAGACTGGGATTCTATGCATTAATTCTAAACAAATGGATGAAACTTAAGTAAAACTCTCACACATATTGTTAAAAGTGTAACCTAATTGTCGTCTTTATCTTAAAAAATAAGGTCTTTAAGCTAGGTAATATTATTTTACTTTATGATGTCTTTCACATATGACTTAATGCTGCACTCTCGCACACAAGCAATTCAAACAATGGTCGAGTACTGTACACCCTGTACATGGGGTCCAACTAATTACCCAAATGTACCCAAATGTAGCCACAATGAAGTCAAATAATGGTCCTACATGAATAAATCGGACTGCCAATCACTTCTCGACTAGTATTTGGTGTCACAAAGTAAAAAAAAAATTGGAAAACGTAATTTAATCTGAGTTAATAGATCGAGTGCATGTACCTAACCTAACCTAACCTAACACAACACAACTCAGATTAAATTAAGTTTACCAATTTTTTGTGACTTTATGACACCAAATAATAATCGAGAAGTGATTCACAGCCCGATTTACGCTTGTACGACCATCATTTGACTTCATTGCAGCTACATTTGGGTAAATACTCACTCCCTCGGTACATGCACGCGATCTATTAACTCAGATTAAAGTAAGTTTTCCAATTTTTTGTGACTTTGTGACACCAAATACTAGTCGAGAAGTAATTAGCAGTCCGATTTATTCATGTAGGACCATTATTTGACTTCATTGCGGCTACATTTGGGTGCATTTGGGTAATTAGTCGGACCGCTGTACATGCATTTGTGTGCATAATCAGTGATTTTATGTAATATTTAAGTTCATAAATAAACTGTCTACTACTGTACATGATTTGACTTTTAGACAATAAAATTAATAATCCTGGGATATTTGTATTAAAATATTGGATGGTATTTTTAGCTCGCATTCTATTCAATTTAAAATAACGGTAATCTTGGAGAAGGTGAGCAGAATGCATTGCTTGATTTCGTTAATTTTTTCCACAGATGTTTTTTGGATGACATCAAGTAATAAAAATGATAGAACCTGACCTAACCAACCAAAGAAACCTACCTAACTTCTTAGCCATATTAAACAGAAAGTACTTTGATATCTGGTACCAATAAAAGCAACTTTCTTGAAGCAGCATGGTGCAATTTTACGTTTTTTTTGTTTGTTGCTCGGTCAAAGCGTAAACAAGGCAGACAACAACATGCACCGCCACAGCAGAATTTTTGGCTGAATATATTTATGGTAAACAATTAATTTCTTCACGTACAAACCACGTAGAGAAATTAGTTTAAGTGTCATACGATCAGTTTTTCATCATGTTTTACCCTGCAATATCCTTCATCTTCATACCCTGCCCACTACAGGTGATTTATGACAGTAGATAACAAGGAACAAAAAAAATAAAAAATAAATACAATACTTACAATTAAACAAAAAAAAGTTGTATCGTGAAAAAATTGAGATAAATCAAGCAACTCCTTCTGATGTTAGCCATCTGCTCCAGCATTACCAAAATAACAATGTTCACTTTATTGAGTCCTAACTCAATAAAGTGAACATTGTTATTATGATGTTTGTATAATAGTCATCTAATTCACTTTTTGGTTCAAACTCAGTGGAATACTGACCATCATATTTTCCAAAACCATTACTAAAGCATGTGTGGCTTTGACTTAGTGCTGCCAAACTTCATCACTCAGTGGTTCATTTTTGCTAAAATCAAGGTTCAATGAAGGTTTCCATCAATTTGACTAAATTATAAATCTCTTAGGTAAATTCAAGTAATTTTTCCAGTTCAACAGACTCTGCAACTACTCTGGTGCAACCATGCAACAAATGTTCTTTAAATATAATCCCAGAAACAAATAGTTTGGCGGTATTCATGTTGTAGAGTATTATGGGTGCCCAGCAGTATTTAATTATTGAGACACATCACCAACCCAACAATATCAGCCAAGAAATTGACTAATTTAATATTCGAGACATAACAGAGAAGCTGTCTCGTTTAAAATAGGCGTAGACCTGGTCTATTGTGCCAAGAAGCACTACAGGTACTGGATCGATTGCGGAGGCTGTCTTCCCACCTCAAGTGACACTGTAATGACAGCTCCGAGGATGAGGTGCCGCTCGCTGTCACCATCACCACACTCGCACTCACTTTAAGCTTACAACTTACCGATCAGGTTAGGGACGAAAAGAAATATATTCTCCGCCATCCTCTAATGACACTGAGGTACAGTACCCAGGTAAGGTCGCTCTTACGTCCCACACCTAATATGGTGAGATGGATAACGAACCGTTCACCTACGCCGACGTCCCTTGAGTTGCCACTTGTGTGTTGTGGAGGGCTGGAGGCTGCAGAGGGGGCGTGTATATAACTTATTTTGATCAACAACATCACCCAGAAAGGATAATCGTATGGTTTTTATAAGCACATATTTATTGAAGAAACTAGACAAGTAGATGAGATTGAAATTACCAAATGAATATAATTTTTTTATCACAATTCTAGCCTTGTGTTACATCCCAGCACCACCACGGACTACACCCCAGCACCACCAGGGGCTACACTCCAGCACCACCAGGCACTACACCCCAGCACCACCACGGACTACACCCCAGCACCACCAGGGGCTACACCCCAGCACCACCACGGACTACACCCCAGCACCACCAGGGAGCTACACCCCAGCACCACCAGGGCTACACCCAACACCACCAGGGCACCCCCAACACCACCACACACCCAGCACCACCAGGGGCTACACTCCAGCACCACCAGGCGCTACACCCCAGCACCACCACGGACTACACCCCAGCACCACCAGGCTGCACTCCAGCACCACCAGGGCTACACTCCAGCACCACCAGGGGCTACACACCACCAGGGCTACACCCCAGCACCACCACGGACTACACCCCAGCACCACCAGGGGCTACACCCCAGCACCACCACGGACTACACCCCAGCACCACCAGGGGCTACACCCCAGCACCACCACGGACTACACCCCAGCACCACCAGGGGCTACACTCCAGCACCACCAGGCGCTACACCCCAGCACCACCAGGGGCTACACACCAGCACCACCAGGGGCTACACGGTATGTATGTTGCCATATTATACAATATTTAGTTATTTACCCAATTCCATCCACTAGAGATGACTATGCAATAATATGCATGCACAAGAACGATGGGATTGGGAAATCACCAGTTAATGAGAACGCAATTACAGTTCCAATCAAACATGGCAAAGCAGGGGCGGATCCAGGATTATCAAGGGGGTGAGGGGCGTCCAAGAAGCTGTGGGTGGGGGAACATGGCGAGCATAGCGAGTCCACCCAGCTTTTGGGGGGGGGGCGTGCTGTAAGTCTCCTTTCCCCAAGAAATTTTTTTGAAATCTGACCAATATCTTGGTCATTTTAAGGCCACTTTGAAGTCATATGCACTTGATATTAGGAGATATTTTGAGGTCAATTATAATTACTTTTTCCTATTCAAAAGTGTCTGAGTACAATAATGCATTAAAGAAAAAAGTATTGGAATTTTCTGATGAAAAGGGGGGAGGGGGGGTTCCCCCAGGACTCCCTTGGATCCGCCCCTGCAAAGGTGAACGAAAAATATAAATTTGTGCCATTATACGTTTCGTCCACTACCAAATTAATTGAAGTCAATACATCTTGTAATCTTAATACAATTTTGCAGTGGTGAAAATATCGACGCTGCTTTAGATTTAATACACAAAAAACCCTGTAAGAGCTCACTTCTTTGGAATAAGATTTTGGAATTTGTAGAATAAACAGCGCCAAGTATGGGGTTTTAATCCAGGCGGCACACTTCACCAGCACTGGAAGTTGTGATTGACTGCATATTTTCTGATGACTTTGCTGCCCTTAGGGCGCACTTCATAAAAAAAAAATATATATATATATTTTGATCTGGGAAAGTAGGATACCTGTATATCACTGCTGAGTCATTTGTCGCCCCCATGAGCCCTTAATCGTTGCTACCCTTTTCCTCCCCCTGAGCCCTTAATCACTGGGACCCTTCTTCTCCCCCCTGAGCCCTTAATCGTTGATACCCTTTTCCTCCCCCTGAGCCCTTAATCACTGGGACCCTTCTTCTCCCCCCTGAGCCCTTAATCAATGGGTCCTTTCCTCCCCCTGAGCCCTTACTCGTTGATGTTCTTGTCATCCCCCTCCCCCGGTCTGTTAAACTTGGGGCCTTTAGAAAGTAACCTTCTACTACTTTCTAAAGTGACCTCTCCCCGGCTCTCTTGCGTTCTCCCCGTCTCTCTTTTGCTCCGTAGGTGACCATTAAAACAATACTGGATGGGGCTCATTGAGTATTTGCTTGCATAAACAAACTGCCATTCAGCCCCGCCCACACACCAACAACAAGACCTTGATTCAGCCGTTTTGTGCCCTGCTTATCATTCTTCTATTAATAAATGTAGATAATTCACAGAACCTTAGTTCCCTCAGTTCAGACTCGGTACCATTTAGGTAATACAGGTATATATGTTTCGTAGCCTCAGTGCACTAGGTAGATGCGTTATGACGGTTTTCCATGCAGTTATTATACGAACCTATAAGAATCTAGAATTCTAGATCCCTTGACTGTGACATTCGTCGTGAATGTCGCTAATGAGTGCCGGGCGCGCACTAATCCTTGGGTGAATGAGGCTGGTGCCTTGGAAGAAATTCTTTTCATTCAGTCAATCAATGTGTTCATAGAACTAACTAATGAACCTTAAAATGAATTACTTTTTTTTTTATTTAACACAATTCATTGCATTTCAAATTAAAGATCCCGAGTTGGGTTGTCAAAGGTTCAAATAATGAATTATCCTCCTGGCGTGAATATATCTAATCGGCTCACTTAAGATAGCCTTTCTATTAAATTATCTCGTTCCTAGTCACGAGAGAATAACCCAAGATTCTTTGCCAATATTTTCTCTGTCTGGAGATACAGGAAAACGCGTGTAACTTGCTCACAACAGGGGTGGATCCAGGAATATTAAAATGGGGGGGGGGGTTCAAGAAGTTGTGGGTAGGGGAACACAACGAGCCCACTCAGCTGTTTTTTTGGGGTGGGGGTGGGGGAGCTCTGTAAGCCCTTCCGTGCATTTTCTTAAATCTGACCAATACCATGTACATTTTGAGGCCATTTTGAAGCCATATGCACTTGATATTAGGAAATATTCTGAGGTCAATGATAATTATTTTTTACTCTACAAAAACGTCTGAGTACAATACTGCATTAAAAAAAAAGTATTAGAAATTTTCTGATGAAAAGGGGTCCGAACCCCAGGACTCCCCGGATCCAACCATTCACTATCCAGATAGGTTCGTTTTATCCCCAGTTAATATCGAAACATTTCACGAAAACTCGGAATTTGCAAAGATTATAGTGCTGGATAAAGATAAACGATTAGATTTGTTTTGTTAATAACTATTGGATGTCACACTTTAGAGGGCTATATATAAGCAGAGCATACATGTATTAATTTTGATTCAATAACGGCAAAAATAAAAAAGCTACCATTCCGAAAATAAGATTTAAAACCTATCTCGATTAACCCTTTCGCCACGTTTCATGCACTTGCCATTTTATTCTGGCTACCGCTAGACGATTTTATTCAGCTTAGGGTAACCTCCTGTTGCGGAAGAGTTAAAAGAAACACTACTCCCTCTCAACAAAATAATACTGGATTTCACCATGAGTATCCCTACACCTCCTGCACATACTGTAGATGTACAGTAATAAAAAGGAGGACTTTCTTCAAATCAAATTGCTTTTGATATTAACTTTTCCCTCATTAAAGATAATTGGGTCTCGTTTGGGATTTTTCCTAGTTTAATTAATAATATATCAGTTGACGAAACAATATGAAATGTAAGCAACTCTTACAATGACAGCCATCTTGTTATCTCAAAGTACAGTTCTCTCCTTCCTTAGATACATCTCTTGTTAGTGACTAGTGGGCCAATAGAATACCAATAGTGAGCCAAATCCAGGAGTTACTGGGCCAAAATGAATAATATAGTTAGGTTTTAGTTACAATCACTCCCATAAACTGTCGTGTAAACACGGTGACGTCAATATATCAACAGTTTCCTTTCTAACGCTTAAATTTCGATTTTATTCGAGAATATTACTGATTAAAGATACAAAGTGAAGAAGATCCATAGCAGTTTCTTAGTTTTCTTAGTTCTGGATTTTCAAATGTTCTTTCGTCCACTCACTGAGTGATTAAGTCAAGGGCTGGCTAATGGTTGACAATCTATGTGGAGCTAGAATCTTTTCTGGGAGGCGGTACATGACACATGTGTGAGCCATATCCTCACTGGCCTCACGTAAAAACTCAACTGGCTCACAAATATTTGGAAAAAAACAAGGGAAATAAAGGCTAACGGCATGGCTAGATTCGCAGTTTCGTGTCCTTTTATAATTTTTCCAGTCATATTGAGCTATATTACTGCCCCCCTCCCAAAGACACAGGATTACAGGAAGTGGGTGCCATAGCCTGTACTGCTATACTCACAACATGTATGTAAAAAAAAAAAATATATATATATACAGTATATATATACAATATATATATATATATATATATATATATATATATATATATATATATATATATATATATATATATATATATATATATATATATATATATATACTGTAATCTCATGTACATAAAGAGTACGTGTGTAAACATACAAAGAATGCACATCCATATTCTTGGGTACATTCATACATACATGTACAGCAATACAGGCTGACATCCACTTCCGGTGTTGTTGAGAGGGGGTTAGTAATATAGCTTTGATGGGTACTTAATAATATAACTGGGAGGGAGATTTAGTAATATATTGTAGATGGGAGAGGACTTAGTAATATAGCTGGGAGGGGAAGTTAGTAATATTGCTGGGAAGGGGACTTAGTAAAATACTTGGATGAGGACTTGGTAATATAGCCGGGAGGGGGGCAGGTAATAATTTGGGAGGGGAGGGGACTCAGTGATACCGGGTATAGCTGGAATGGATACATAATAATAAAGATGGGAGGGGACTTTGTAATATATATAGCTCGGAGGGGAACTTGGTAATATAGCTTGGATTGGCGCTTAATACACCTGGAAGAAGGACTTTGTAATATAGCTGGGATGGGGAGGGGTGGACTACAAAGGTGCTATACTTAGATGATCTGTCTAATAAATATATTTAAGTGTAGTGTTACCTCACACTTCTGCTTGGCCCCCGAGATATGTCAAAGACTACCAACAGATTAAGAAAGGTCAAAGGAGGGCAATCAAATTAGTACCGGTACATTCAAGAGCCGGTGCATGCCCAGTTCATGCCAACAGTGCGTAACAGAGACGTGACCGATCGCCCAAGCGGCTAACGAGCCGATCAGTGGTGAAGAGGATAAAAGAAAGAAAAAAGAAAAGAACTCAAAAACCTCACATAGAAACAGGGACTAACTAGAACGCTTACAATTGCTAAGTTCCTGCTATAGAAGAAAAAGGGGTGATTTAATTGAAGTTTATAAGCACATCAAAGGATATTCAGGGATCCGTACGTGCACAGTTCCTGATAGTGTGTAACAGGGAACTAACTAACCGACCGGACATTCAATTGTCAGCTGACAAGTAGCGAAGAGGCGTAAGTTACTCAACTCCGGAAACCTGCACCAAGCAACACTCCCATCGCTAACGATGGTATATCCTCGTATTGTTCTCAGCCTTTGACTCTAAAATTAATCTAATTTTGCTAAACTAGATGTACAGTACAGTATATTATTTATATCGTATTATCATATAGTTTTGTTATTTCTTATGTGAGATACTTTATTTTCTTTATTAGGGAATTTTCACATTTATGATCATTTACAAACTAAATGGCCTTTTTGGGACAAATATTATCTAAGGTTATTTTCAAATTTCTCGTAGTAAGTTACATGTAGGCCTACCTATTTCTTGTCATATCAAAGCATTAGTTCTAATAGGTTAACTGTTGATAACGTAACGACTTTGAAATGAATGCTGGGCCATTAAACGGAGCAATTATTACTGATAATTTCTATCTCTTGACGCAGATACGCAAACGTGTACCTTGCAAGTCATAGAACATGGGTTTTAACGATGATTGCACCTCGATCGAGAGTATAAATCTAATAATCAAATGGAAGTGGTGTCAGTAACAGTATGTTCTTATAATGATAATGTGTAACCTGCAAATTACACTTGACAAGTACTTTTACATGTTCGATATGATAATTAACAGTAGTCAGGATCCCCAAAAGTACGTTTAGCTATAAAAATTGATGGAACAACAATTGTGATTTGATGTAAATGGGTAATTTTATTTAAGCATTGTGAAATGTTTCGGTGACAATTTTCAAAACAATTTGAAAGTATAATTTTAAATTTGCAGATCATGTTTGAATAGAAAGGCTGCCACTGGTTTCATTCTCTACAGAAGTTTTACAATAAAACGTCTGGATGTTAAGTTCAAGATGTTAATAATGTTTGTGCAATGCTATATCCTCATATTCACTGTATTTTGGTTTGGTGTTGACATTTCTGTTTGTAGGGAGGAACGCGTGCGCACAGGTGAGATGGTCACGTGACAAACTCTCCACCAATCACAAACCCTTTGGCCATCTCTGCTGTGCGCGTATTTGTGCTGTACAAATTTACCACTTTCAATTTTTTTCTTTATATTTCGTACAGTACGACACATGTATAATCGCATTTCTTTTCAGACTAGCGTGATATACGGAAAATCGTCTAACACACAGCACATTTTGGTTTAGTAAGTAGAACTCTGAGTAAAGAATAACTGATACATTTGTAATGAAAATTAAAATATATGCATTGGAAAGAGTGTTTGGAGGAAGGTAACAAAAGAAACTGAGAATTTTGCGTGATGACGGCAACGTCGCTTACAGTCAAGATGGCTGCATGTCTCCCGCAAGACGGAGACTCAAGTAATCCGGACAAGCCTGGCTCTTCTTCCAACTCACATACCTTGAAACAACAAGCCAGTGGTCCTCAAGGGGGATCCTTAGCCTCGAGTGCCACTTCAGCGGAAATCAAGCTGGAGGGTGACAAGGTGAGTTCATATTTCGACATTGTTTTTGTAGGCGGTGACTGGTATGGATAGTCGACTAGTCGGTTCACCCGGGGAAAATTGGGAAAAATTGCTATCGATGCGTAGCTGGATGGCCGATAGACGATAATCAAGTATCCGAAACATATTTACATTAGTATGGCAAAAGATCAGACTGTGACGGGGATGATGGAAGTGACTGGAAGCCGAGAAGGTTGAGGTGACTGTTCAGGTGCAGGAGCAACGAGGCGAGGCAGTGTGACTAAGGACCTACTTCTATAAACATTCCAACTTCACGCTCTCTCTCTCCCAATAATCCGACGATAATACAATCTCCTATACATATATATATTTCATCTGAATCATGTTTAAAGACAGAGTTTGTGAATCGCACTGAACACACGGTTTACGGAAGTCATTTGTTGATAACTGGGCTGTAGTGGTGACTGGCAAGACGGCGCCTGCCACACATTAGCCATCACCTCTTGTTACTACGTCATTAGGCCAGGCCCACATGGAATAAGGTTGTTATGATATTTTAGTTACGTTTTTCTATGTTTTCACACTATTCAGAGTGTAAATTTAGTCATTTGAAAATTTCGTGAGTTCAATAGTAGATCACCACATACCATGCTGTTGGTGTAGGTGCGATCCTGCCTTTAATGAGTTCATAATTATCATTGGGTGGGTTTACTGTTACACAATGTTTCAGCACGTGTCAAGGAATGTACAGTTGTATGAACTGTGATCACTTTTTGCAAAACATATTCCAGAACATACCTGTGTCGATGCTAATTGATGTAATGGCACCTATTCTGTGCAGGGGTGTGGTGTCAGGGTGTGATGACAAAATGATGCAAATAAGACAAATTCACTTAAGTTTTTTTTATTGTATATTCCAAAAATTTATGCTATTCAGTACAGTAACAAGTAATAATTAACACTTGACCTTTAGAGCACATAAAATATATAGGTACCTGTATTTGTATTAACCATGTACCTTGTTGCCTTTTTGTGATGTTATAGTCTTATCTTAGCCTTTTGAACTCTTGAATTATCTAAGGTCACCCAATCCAGACCAATGGTGGTGTTGAGGAATGGCATAGGCTGCATTGCATATTAAAGAACGTTGTAGTAATTGCTGTTTACCGAATACTTTTCTTACTCGGCAGTGGCTAAATAAATTACCGGTCACGGCAATATAGTCTGACAAGTTAAATTACCGGTCATGGCACAGCTGACAGGCTGTTTTGGGCAATGCATGTAGTGCCGGTCAACCCTAACCAAACAAATAAGTTAATTGTACGTAAATATCATGTTATGTTTTTCATTGCTTACTACAATAAATACTATTACAGTACCTGGACAGTATATCATTACTTCTGTTCCATAAACAATGGACCAACAAATAGCCCAAAACAGCCCGTCAGCTATTCCTATGACCATTAATTTAGCCTAACAGTTCTTACTATATAGTAGGATCAAGCACTGGTAAATATTAAGAATGGGATTGCCTCTGAACAATCAGTTTTCAATTTTGCTCCTAGAATATTTGTTACTTGATTGTACATGTTGTATGAGAACTGTTGTTGGTACAGGCGCTGCAAAAAAGGCGAATTTGAATTTGCTCGGGTGTCAAGTAGGTTGTTACCTTGGTGAATCAGCAAACAATCAAAAAGCAACATTGGACGAGTTGACTTATGCAGGAACAATTGGTGCATTCCTACTATGAATAGACAAATTTCATTGATGATAAGAATGAGGACTTGACAAATGGAAGTTTTGGACGACTTCCTGCATCTTTAATGAAATTCCCCTAAAAGAACTACAGACCAAATTTAACCTCTTAACTTCTAATTTTTGTTGCTTCTTGTAGCTCATTCTTCAAATTCATTTCATGTAAAGTGAATCCTCCGGTCATCCTATGTTTTTTTTATTCTCCCAAATATATTGATGGACCAAAATCAACAGAGTTTGATGAAGTGATGTACGAGTGGTTTAAGCAATGGAGAAGTGAAGGGAAACTATGTATCTATATATATATATATATATATATATATATATATATATATGTGGAATCATCATTTTATGACCATTTTCCATGCTTGTGGTGGTTAGCTGTGATTACCTGATGGCAGCTGTTGGGTAAAGCCAGAATGAGATTCCTCCCCACTCATCACCCCAAATTCAGGGAACCATCCCATAAAAGTCAACTGAGACCAGGGAGTGGGCACAGCTCTGGTGACCCAGTTGCCATGAGGCATGTTGAAGCAAAGTTTTATGACTGGATGCCTTTCTTAATGTCATCCCACAGGGTGGGAACAACTGGCAAGGCAGGATTGCAACTTCCTGAGGTATTCAAAGACCACCCACCTATTTGGTTATGTCTGAAAAACCAAGAGATTTCTCATAATTTTGAAGTACAGTAAATGTATACTGTACATGTAATATGATGCATAATGGCGATGTGGCAGTGATATGCTCATACCTATAACCCCCATACTGTACTGTACATCAAAATAGAACTGCTTATTACTACTGTACTATGTTTTTGAACAGTATATATTTTGTTTATGTACCAGTAAATGTATTTGAGATTCTTTATACAGTACTACACAACCTGGGCTCCATACTAGTCAAAAGTACATACAGTACTGTATAAACTTTTAGAAATTCACACACGGCTTGGTTCCAAGGGATTTGGATTTTTGTGCTTTGATTGTTTGTGTGTGTAGTAATAATAATCAGAACAATCGCTAGCTTATGAGGGACCCTGTGCAAGATAATAGTTGGGGCCCCCATTACTTAGACAACCCTCCCATCGTGCCCAGTCACTCACCCACATATATTCCTGATTTTATAAGAATTTCATCTTGATAATGTTATACAAATATACATGCAAATATATATACGTGCTGGGGCTCCCCGGGTTACGAAAAGGGTTCCGTTCCTGAGGACGTTCATAAGTCGGAAATTTACGTAAGTCGGAACACATGCTGTGTGCATACCGTATTTAGGCTATATAATAGCCTAAGTCCTTATATACATCTAAAATCACTTAATTTAAGAGAAAAGAAATGGAATGCCAATACAGTAAATGAAAGTAAACAAATAAGTCATGCAGTAAATAAAATATTGTAAATTTAAAGCTTAACTCCGTTCGTTTCGGCGGGTGTCGTAAGTCGGGGACCTCCTGTAACAAATATAACAGGAAGGTAAATCATTATCAGTTGCTAGGTTTTTATAGACAGATACTGCCAAAGCCCAGACTTATTCGAATGGCTGAAACGCACTCGCCTGCAGTTTTGAGATGCGCACAACACACTGCACATCGGAATTGAAATACGAATCCTAGTAAACAACAAGTATACTGTACTGCATTCAGGAAAGGGGCCCTGTGCAGTCGCATAGACCGCACATAGCTGGGGCCGGCCCTGATAATAATTAATGGTTTATTGAAAGAATGGACATGGCAGTCAAAATGCTGAAAATCAGTCAAAATGCTGAAAATAAACTACAGTACTGTAAACAGAGATGATGAAAGTTACATATGGTGAAATTGGGGAGTAGGTCACTTGAGTAACAAAAGCCAAGGAAATAAATATGGGTGGACATGCAAGTTAACTGGTAATATTTTCAGTGGTTATAAGCAAGCTGTTCTTTTGAGTTGTTAAGTGGTGTTGAGAGTGCGTGTGTGTATGGCTATTTTTCCATTGTGAATTTTCCTCTGAGGATTTTACACTTAGAGTAATTTGTATGTTGACTAATGTAAATAACTAATGAGAATGGGAGGTTTATCAACAAAGGCTTTCACTGTTACATTTGCCTAAAAAAGCCTTAGTGATGCTTATGATAGCAGTCTCATTTGTACCATTGAGCTGATAAGATTGTGGTTACCCTTTAGATGGCCCAGGAGACATGGCTAGGATTTTGTTAAATACTGTAATTGATTGTCCTGTGTGAGAACAATTTGCATGCATATCAGTGCATGTATACTTGTTTGCCTATACAGTACAGTACTCTACACTATATAAATTGAGAATTCATTTGTATTTTGGGTATTTCACTAGTTACCACTAAACGAATCCCGGGAATTTTATAGTTCCAATCAGTAATTTTGTCAATTCTAAGACACTTTTTGTCAATGGTATTTCTGGCACAAATTACATATAACCGAGATATTTAACATTTTATTATGTATGAAAATTTACCTTTCATGAGTTACCTCTAAACGAATCTCGTGAATGTTATAGTTGGAATCGGTAACTTTGACAATTCTAAGAAACTTTTTCTTTAATGGCATTTCTGGCGCTAATTATGTCTAAGCGATATATTTAACATTTTATTTATGTGGGTAGAGCAGTTAGGCGGTTTGTATTGGCTGTAGAATTGCTTGTAGAAAAATAATTTGAATAAGAAACTGCAATGTTATGTAATATAAAACAAATACTGCAATAAGTAAATGATGTTACTGTATGGAGTTAGTTCAAATTACAGTACAGTAATATAATTATCATCAGTGCACATGTTTAATAAAAAATTTTAAGTATAACTGGCAATTTAGACTTACAGTACAGTGCAATATATCCATGTAGCTACTGTACACATATTCAAAATGGCAAAGTGGGGTGTGTGACACTGAGTTGGTTGGAGATTATAGCATGGAGAGTAAAGAGTATTAAGTGATTAGTAGTAAACCACTTTTTTGTGCTGTCATACTCATTAGTTTCATATCAGCATTTAACCAATACCCCTTTTGATTTTGTTTACATTGTTGTTTCTTACTTACTTGACATGAAATTTTGCAGTTATCAAAGAGTGTTAATTAACCTAATATGGTCAGTTGTATTGACTTGAACGTTGGTGGTATTATATCTACCAAACTTTAGATAGAATTTGAAGAAAAAAAAATCGAATTGGAATGGAGACAGTAGAATATCTTGTGTTTCCTATGTTTTCACTTAATAAATTCATGAATTGGCTCCATATTTTTATAACCTGGGCATTTCCACACCATCAAATACAGTACCTAGGCAAAAAATAGGTACAGTGCAGTATTAGAAAGGGTAATTTGTCATTCCATGTTATCAAGGAATAAGCCTTATTGCCTTATTACTCCAGAGTCTGCATGTTGTCTGTGATACTTTTCTCTGTCAAATTTGAAGTTCAGTAGAATTACCTAGCTTTAATATTTTATTGGAATATAATACCATTATTTTTCTACCAGTATTTTATATTGTACTACTGTACTCATTAAGGCCCAAATGATTAGGGAAAATCTTTTTACTTTAGTTTATGTATTGCAGGTGCATTGAAATTCCTTTTAAATCTTTATGTATTTTAATTTAATATTTTAAGGTAGTGAAGATTTTTCATGTTAGTTTTGTCACTTATTTAGTTTTGATATAACCAGTATGTTGGTAGGAAAATGTTTTGAACTCTTAATTGCAAATACAGTACAGTAATGTAGTATTGATGTATGTTGGCCTCTCACTTTATAATTATAGAGCATGCCTTCCCGGAAAATGGAGTGTACCCCTGCATTATTTTGAATATGTAAAATGAACCCAGTTTTCCATGATAAAGTGAGGGTTATATACAAGAACCTTCAGACCCTCTTCAGACTTGTCCACCAAATTACGTCCAGAACTCCAGAAAGCAAAAAAAGAAAGAATAATAAGATTTCCTCAGTGGCCTCCAGCTTGTTTATGTAAGTGGGTCACATTGAATGGTCAAATATGTGATAAGGGCTGCACTTTCAAATGGTAAGGTGAATAAATTAGCCGAATCACCAGTTGAACAAATTGAAACATGAAAGTACTGTATTACCCTTAAATGTTGGAATTTATATCGATAGTGTGTGGCTTGTTGTCTTATAATGAAGTAAATTCAATGTTGTCACAATAAAGTGGCAAGGTCATGCGCATGGACTTCTTCTGTGGAAAGCGTAGTTTTATAATGAAGAGGAGAACCAGGGAAAACACAAACATCTTGACTAAGTTGGGTTTCTTTAATTACTAACATTTTGGAAAATCATTTTCCGTCATCAGAGCCTAGAAAACAGGCAAAAAAAAAACCAGTTGCTGGTAATATACCTTCCACAAAACTTTTAAAGGTAACATAACTAAGTCATTAAAACCGCCTGCAAATAATAAACAAAACAAAAAGGTTAATTACAACCAAGGAAAAGGGTTTAGAGTGAATACATTTTTTTTAAACCTTGTTTTAAACCATTGGTGTAAATCAGCCAATCCTGGCATTTTTTACCCATAAGTAAATACTGTTGTGTACTAAATAGGTAGGAATGTTTAGATAGTGATTTTTTTTTTTATTATGCGTATCGTTTAAACCGTATGTATATTAGATAATGTGAGGAGTGGAGTAGTGGCTTCTTGTAAAAACAGGAAGGAGTGTTGAGGGAGGGTGGGTAGGTAAGTAGGTTGGTGTGTAGGTAGTGGGATACTACTAATATGGTAATGTCCAGTTTTTATCCCTTGGGATTGTACTGAAGAGAGAAAGTTAGCTCCACTGAATGATTGTTGAGGGTAAAGTGATGATGCAAAATATTTTTAAAAGTACAGTATAATTTTAATCATTGTAGTGTAGACATTCCTTGTTGTTATCTTTATTGTTGTCATATTCACTAGTGCCATTTTCATCATAATGATGACTCACAGCTGTTAAACAATTTCAAGATAAGTGAAACTTATAAGGACCTCATCTATGTTATAAAAGATTTAATATGATACTGCACATATCAAATCCCTCTCCACTGTACTGTAGTTGTCTTTTAGGCAAACACCCAAAAGATTTTAAATGGTTTTATCCTGCATCACCTACTCTAATTATAGAAGTTAATTTAGTGTACACTCTAAGACACAACTACTGTACGTACTGTATTTTCCCTCATTTTCGTAAATGCACGGCGGAAAAGTCGAGTCATCTGACGCTTGCATCTGTGTACAGTACCTCGTAAACAGTTGGTTGGCCTGTGGAACCTTGGAAAAGGGAAGTCAGGTATACAGGACTTACTTTCTCTGATGAACATTCATTATGGAGTGTACTGTATGTGTCCATATTCCACAATAGAATAAGAAGTCCACTATTTTGAACCATCATTTGTTGAATAACTAGAAGTGTTTATATAGTCAAGTGTACCAACTGACCAGGTGTAGTCACGGTTACACTTTCAGTTTAATCTGCCAGGTTTCAACATTTTTCGGTCAAAGCTGGGAAGATTGATTGTACCATACTGATTGATTTTTCATCTATCGGAACTTTTTTTTTCTCATGATTGACAAAAGTGCTAAGTCATAAATGTTACAGAAATGATTAGCATTGTCTTTTATCTTATGTTAATACTGCTCTGGCATATTCCATCTTGTGACCACCAAATTTTCTGTAAACTTTCCCTATTGATTATCAACTTTAAAATTCAGAGTAACTCAAAGCATTCATACCATTGTTTTGTACTGTATGTTTGGCTTCTTTGTAAGGGTTTGGTCTTGTAGCATTAAACAACAACAATGTAGCACTAGCACTGTATATAATAGTACAAGAATGAACCCCCAAAAATTTTGTATTAAATTTTTGTTTAAAGATCTATTTGGCCAAGTAAAATTATGTACTCTACTCAGAACTAATGCAAAGAGAGGTCAAATATACCATATATAATTTATCTCTCACCTGAAAAGTGCAAGACATAGCAGTCATATAATCATTGCTACTATTATCATAATTCATTTGTACAGTACTGTGTTAGTTTTAAAGTTGATTTTGAGTCTCGGGTGAAATGTGTGGTCTGCTGACCTTTTGTAGTACATTATTAGTTAATGATGTACAGTGGTGAATGCATTGCAAAAAAGTTGAGCCATCCAACACTCACACCTGTTGACCTCGTAAACAGTTGGCAGGACAGTGGAACCTTGAAAGGTGTAGCAAATTACACCAATGAACACCATTATTATTCATTATTAAGTACTGTACTGTACAGTTATCCACTGATTTACGATGGGGATACATTCCTAAAAACCCATCGCAGGTCAAAATATTGCAAATCAGGATCATTTTAATATGGTGTTCAATGGGATATGTTCCCAGTCAGTCCGACACCTACATGTATCACTGAAAATAAAATTCCTACACTATTATTATACCTACAACAATTAAACAACACTCGCCACATCATTAAGAACAATGCCATTTATCATTACATGTCCCCTTCAAGGCTAAGGGGAGTCTTGAAAGTTGAGTGGAGACATCACTCTGACTCTCGCACAGCCTCTGGGAGTCTCATACCGATTCATCTCCAGAGATATGGTTTTCCAGGGTGCCTTGGTCTTCCCAGACTTTTTAAAGTTGCATTGCTCACTTTACAGTCACATAAACAGCTAAAGCACTTGTCACACGATAATAACGTAAAAACAATGATAACGGCTGACATTGCTCACATCATGTTCACATCAACAGAGGCAAAACACTTTACAGTCACAAAAACAGAGTACAGTGTGAATGTTAGTGGTATCCTCTCCCTGTAAGATAAAATAAAAAACACACATGATGGGTAACAACACTGATACTGACTGATAATCGTTGAACTACACGATCACGGCCATGTGTGATCACCATGGAACAAAGCATAGTACATACTGTACTATAGTGCAGCGGGTGGCTGCACGCAATTAGACCTCGGCTGACATGTACACTGAGATATGTGTTCTGTGTTCCGCATTGGCCAGACGATGAGCATTGTTTATGGTGATTTTTTACATCATAAATACGGAGTGGTCTTAATTAATCACCATTGTTAAAACGGAATATCATAGATATGGAGATCGTAAATTTGGGGATACTGTACCTGTATGTGTTCATATTGCACAACAAAAATATTTTATATTAAGTCGACTATTTTGAACCATCATTCATTGAAAAACTCAGAAACATTTATCTAGTCAGGTGTAGCAACTGACAACATGTAGTCACAGTTAGGCTTTCAGTATAATCCACTAGGTTTCAGTATTCATTAACCAAAACTGGGAGGATACTTCTTCCTTAGACTGTACAGTACTGTACTTGAGAAACCTCCCCCCCACCCCCCCAAAAAAATTAAGTTACGTGACTTTCATTCATACTGTATATAGCTATACGATATATATATATTTTTTTTACAGGCATATGATGAAGTAGCAAATTACAATGAAGAGGACCTGAGGACTTTTCTAGAAGAGGTCACGAATGCTGGAAAGAGAAAAAACGACGACCTCTCACCCTATGCCTTGGTCTGTATAAATTGCCGAAATAGTATTGTACAGTAATAATTATGTTTAAAGAGTTATGTTTAGTTTGCAGTCAGATAATATATAGTTTGGGTATAATTATACCTTCAGAGGTTTTTACTAGGTTATATGGTATTATTAATCCCTTAATCTGTTGGCTGTATATAGATTATTATAGATTAGTGATACTCATATACGAACTTGCTGAATTAGAGCTTTTTAAAGACAGCTTTATTATAGCATGAGGTTTGACTAAACTGAGTGATTAAGTAACTGTAAGCTTGCAATGTGTATAATAATTCCCGTGTTCCTAAAAACATTTGTGATAATGAAAGACCTATACCGATGATAATATTTCTAGCTCATACTTGTACCAATAGTCTCATGTTGTATAATGGTCCAGGTTATTTGACTACTCCCTAACTGGCAGCTGAGGGCGGATCCAGTGACTGTGTATCTCCCATTCATATATATATCACTCTTTAACATTGGATATTGGCCATATCTATCTAGATGGCACACACCAGCAATGATTGCTTTCTTGATTTCATAGTCATTCCTTTATTTCTGTTTAGTTTCCAGTTACCTGTTGAATTTTAGTTAATTGTTTGTGCCCCAATTTGTTGATGCTTTAAGGAGTAGTTATTGGGGTTAACTACAGTTCTTGGTGTTATCATTAAGACTGACATTGTTTTTAAACCAACCCGTTAACAAGTGGGTTAGCTTTAGCACTAAAGCATGTGACTGCAGCTGCATTGATAGGTATCTGAGGCCACATTTTATGTGGTGTCTCATGATTTTGTGAGATCTGGGACTCCTCCTATGAGGGCACAGAGAGCTGGCTTATTGTTTTAGGAAACCTATGGCTCTGTTTGGTGATTGGAGTGGTTTTGCATATAGGATTTTTGCAGGTATGTACTTTGTATCCTGTTTGTTTTAACCAGTGCTTGCCTGTACTTTCTGTGGTTAAGAAATCAGAGGTAAACCTTCCAGAGGATCTGCAATTGGGCCTGGAAATTTTGAGACTACAGTAAAGACAATTTTGTTCTTAGTGACCCTTGAAATCCTACTTTTATATCTTTCAATTATATATAATTTTAAATACATTTTACAACTCCAGGCCTTATCCACTCCTGAGAGGGAAATGTTAATGATAAAAATAATAGTTGGTTAATTTTCAAAAGCAAGCTCCTTTTATTAGAAGAATAAATGTACTCGGGCTTAAAATACAAAATTGTTTAACCCCTTGCGTATGGGTTCCCCACAGAGCTCAATAAAATCATGTGGCATCAGCCAAATAAGATATTAAAAGTGGTTTCCCCATAGTAAAGGGGTAAAGCCACAGTTAATTTATAAAAGCACTGTCATTACAGCCAATCATCTTTGTTTTTAACAGTATTAAAGCATGGACTTGAGGGTAGACTCATATTTTTAATAAATTTGTTTCTGATTATTTGAGAGGATTTTCCATTTATTATTTATTTGTATGTGTTTAGCGTGTGTCAACACGCACACACACATATTTACAATACAGTACAGGTAAAAGAAATTACCGTCTCAAGAACGAATGGCTCTGTCTCCCAGCCGTGAAAATGCCAGCAACTTTAAAATTACCCACAGACATTCTTGGGTACATTCATGGTGTCATCCACGAATAATAGAGGACCGCGAAATAAAAATCCTCAAACTTGAGGGACTCCCCGTACTGTACAGTACCCTATACACTGTATATGTAATGTACAGTGCCACTTGTAAATGGCCAGGAAGATGAAATGTTCAGAATGGATGTTCTGAATTTTATGCATGTACAGTATATGTCAAATATGAAGAAAAAATAAAATAAAATTAATCGTGATCAGAAATTATTTAGTCTTATATTTTACTGCTAAAGGCCAAACCATGAACTAAATTCACATGTAAACTCTGAGGACAGTCTTTAAGCATGAGCTTTTATTTTGTTTGAATGTCTCATAGGCATAAATAAATGGTAAGTGTTATATATATATGTTGGACAAAAAATGTCTGTAAAAAAGAAAAAGAAAAAAGAGAAAATAGATCACCAAACTAAAACAAGAAGTTTTTGTCACTGAGCATGAGCTAGGTAAAAACTTTATGAATACAGTATCTAATTTCCCCCCCCCCCTCCTCCTCCTCCTCCTCCTCTCACCACTCTTCCCCCTTCTCCTTCCACTCCCTCTTTCATTTATACTTCTTTAGTTTTAAGTTAATCTTTTCTTACTCTACCGTGCTGGCTAATTTTTTTCTGCAACCTTAGATCATAGGTATATTGTTTTGAGTTAAGCACTACAGTTTTTTGTTTTTTTCCCAAGAAGCTAAGTTTGGTCATTTGATTTTTCCATTCTAGGATAAAAATGCAGTTAATTTTCTTTGGGTTCAGAGAAGTTAATCCCTATATAGAGGAAACCGTTTCACAAATGTAATCTCTATACAGGTATTCATTCACATTCCTCTTGCTTCATTTTTGTTTAGCATCAGTAATAATTATCTGTTTTGTCAGAGATGGATTTCACAACCTGACATTTAGCAGTTCTCTGGAGTTTCATCATCAAAATACAGGAGTATTTGTTGGTTTTTATTACCTTTTATTTTTTTTAATTTTGGTTGTTGGATCTAACTTCTTTTTTCTTTTTTTACAGTAATGTCTTTTATATTTGATTAAGACTTTGGATAGCATCATTTAATACTCTTATTTTAATTATCATTATCATCATATAATGAGCAAAAAACTAGTCCAGATGGTACAGTAAGGATTTATAGTACCGGGTAGTAGAAATACAAGTAATGAAAAGGGAAGTGTGACTCGAAGGTGTAAAGATAATATCATATATATTAATATAGTCTCAATACAAGTGTAGTACTGTATATAAAACACTTATGCATGTTACAGCTTTATTTTACTAGTTCACCGGGGGGTTTATGAGAGGCTCTTACACGATAAATTTTAGATTTTTTTATATGTTCTAACCCAACAAGTAGATTTGGGCACTTCCACTATATTTACCATGGGGATTTCAGGATCGCCTCTCCACCACCTCCTACACAGCCAGTACTTACATGGATATGATGATATTTGGTGCATTGTCAATGGCCTGGTCTGAGACTTCGTTGCAATATTATTGGTCTTCTCCATAATGTGCTGAGCTCTTGGGGAGGGCGGGACAAGGCAGCGAGTGCTGCTGGCCCCTTTGCTGTTATGACTGACTGACAAATGACACCCCTCATCTCCTGTAGGCCATCTTTTATTGGAGACAGCAGGATAGCAAGTGTTGTTATCAGGTCGCTGTTACTGTGTGCTTGGGAGTCATGGGGTGTGGTGTACTCATCATAGTAGGCCGGTTGGTGATGCTTCCATATTATCACTCATAGGGTGTGTCTGGCCTTTGTCCCTTGTTATCCTGTGTTTGGGTATCAGGCATGTGGTGTATTGGTCGGATAGGCCTATCGGTGGTGGCACGGGCCCCTTCCCAGCTACTGATATACCAGCGCCCTGTCGATCTCCTGGCCTGGTTAGCTTTGCTCTAACAGAAACTTGCTATAATCATCATCATCATGACATTGGCTTGTATTTGGTCAAAAGTAAAGTATAATCCAACACTAATGTCCTTACCTTCTGATACTGTACAGGCACTAATTCGCAAAGAACAAGATGCTTTAAGAGAGGAGTCTAGCTCCGGAGATGACACTCGGGATCTAGCTCACAGACGTCGAAACAAAAAGTCACTTGTGGGACATCGGGATCAATCCAGTGATCAGTCTGCTGCTGCCCGTACAAGTACTGGGGGGTCATTAGGCTCTTTACATGACCTTTCGGAGACTAAACAACCCAAAAAAGTTGCTGGACCCAATCAGGGTGTGGCATCACGCTGCAGGGAGGGTAAGTTGAATCTCAGCCATCATGATACTTATTGAAAATATGTTAATTTAGTCGAGCAGAATGATACGGATTGTAGTTTTGTATAAACCACTGATTTTGAATTACAGAGCCATTTGGTACCGATAGCATCTTGGATTTGTATATAAACTTTTTCACAAAGCATTTTTATGTAAAATTTCTTGAAACCTGCCTCACTGGTTCCACTGTAACTTACTGCACACTCACAAACTTGCCAGATATGTGCAGGAGTGGTCAACTAGGCAGTATACTGTACTTTTAACTTTTTATGCAATATTACCATAAACTGTATTTTAATCTTTTCATATCAAAATTATGTTCTGTTTGTGATCTGATGACCCAAAAAAAATGAATTGGAGAGCACTATTTTATTATTAGATCATGACTTATGTCACTAAATTTAGAAAATTGATGAGTAAATGCCCAGTATTTAAAATAGATCTTAAGTTTTATCATCTGTAAATTGAAGCAGGTTTTCACATTGGCTACCAATATAAATTGGGAGATATGTTCCTACAAAAAAAAAAATTCTCAAACAAGGTGACAAATGGCACTAAACATGTTTTTAAGTTGTTTGACTAATTCTGAAAACAAAAAATGTGTGTATTATCTTAATTATTGGCAATTATTTAATTATACAAAAAGTTGATCATGCATACAAATTACAAGGACTAATAAATGTACAAACTTCTTAACAGGGGGCTCATGTGGGAATTTATCACGTGGTTCATTTGAGACTGTAAAAAGAAAGGGTCGCCGTTCAAGGGATGCTGCTCGGGCAAGCACAAGCCAACGTGAAGGAGGTTCGCTACAGGTGAGGAGCTTTTATCTATAACTTGTATACCGGTATATATCCTTATTTAATATGAACTGGTTGTGTTTTGCACCGTTGACTTGTGTTACAGTTAAGAAAGGTAGTGTTCTCTAGCCTTGTATATTTCAGTTACACCCCTCATTTTGACTTTTTTTTTATGTTAATTTTCTCTTTGTGAAGTCATTTTGCACTGGTTGAATTTACACTGTACACTAAAACTAAAATCCTTCGACAAGATTCCATAATTTGCTGAAGGGTCTTTGTCATTTTAATGTGTAGAGATATGCAATAACTGGAGTGTCCATGATCTAAGTAGCTTTTTTGATCACACTAAAGGTTTCCTCCTTGTCCTGGACTTAGCCAACTCATTCACAAGAAAATATTGTCAAGAATAAAGTATTGAGTTCTGGTGTTTATATACAGTATTATAACAATTTGTGATTGATGTTGCAGCATACTTGTGTCTGTAATTGGTTTTCTTTTTTAACTATTAATGAAATGTTTCTCATGCACAGAATTTAAGCAAGACAGAAGCTGCTTCCAATGAGTCCAAGAAGCTCCACAAGTCAGGTAGTTTGAGCCAAGTTTGCTCTGACGTTGCTGGTGGTGCTCGTAGTAAGGTAAGCAGAAATTAATTGGATTATAAGCTTTCCAGTTAACTCCATTATTTAATGGGTCCATTTGAATGATTTATCTATCCTTGCACTATATGATCGAAGCAAATCAAGTAAAGCACTAACATCTCCATGACTTCCTGCCTCCATGACAAGAGCCTCCTGGCTGCCCTATCAGTACATACCTTCTTTGTCTTTTCTATATCCCTTACTCATTCCCTAATGTTTTCCATAAGCTATTATTTCTTCTGTCCATGTCATGGTGTAGGCAGTCTCCATGCACCCAATTCACCCGCATCATTGCCCATATATATTCTTCTTGGTATCCATTCTTCATGCATTATTCTCATGTGTCCATCCCGTCTTGGCTGATCACTTGTTACCCATTCCACCACTCGCAATTTTTAATTTCTTCCTTCTCTGCCATCCCAAATACCCGATACATTTAACTGTATCTTACCCCCTTTCAATCTGGTTACCCCAGATACAAGGGTAACTCATCTTCTGAGTTTGAATTATAATCAGTTTACTTCATTCCAGATCCATGTTTCACAGCCATAAGTTAGGGTAGGAAGTACAGTATTGTCCAATTAGTGATGTCCTTTGTTACCTCTAAGCTTACATACAGTACTGTATAGTACTTTCCATCAGTGATAGGTCTTAGCTCTCCATTACCTACACTCATTCATGCTGTACATGTTTTATTTAACATAACTTTTGAATATCGAAATCCTTAACGTTTTCCAATCTTGTACACTGAACCCTTTGGATAGTGGACTTATAGGGGAAGACCATTGTCGCTAGAGCCGAAAATATGTTAAACCCGATTCCCCAGTAATTATTTCAAACTAAAGGGGACAAAAGTGGGTTTGAAATACAGTACAATACCAGATATTTTGGAATAGGTGATTTTAATACGTACTATTGTATAAATATGAAATACATTCCTAGTACTTAAATATGTTACATTAATCCTCCATTATTGCCTTAGATATTATCTTCAAATTAATGATAATAGAAAATTTTAAAAATATTTTTTCCATAAATATACACATAATCCTCTGCTCACATCAATAGATTCACCCTAACAGTATCTTTAACTGTACAGTACACTGTAATATTGAAATTGTTGACATAATAACAATAACAAAAGCATATAAATAACAATAATGAAATCATAAAAAGGGCAAAAATACTGTACTACAACTCGGAGTACACACTACGTCTCGGTTCTCGGGGACCATAGCAGCCTTGACACTCACCTTAGCAGCGCAGCACCGCAGACCCTGCGACGTTAACAAGCACGTCACACTGTTTGATGGTGGACACCTGTTGGTACTTAAAACTTTATATGCACACACTCCCAAAAAGGTATTGGCCCCTTTTCTCATCGATACAGTGTGTCACAATGGACAAATATTTCCGATCACTAATTGTGATTCCTGCATAATGTTGGTAAGCCTGCCTTCCTAGTATCTGTAGTATCTGTGAGGTTGCCTGTTATTATTTCTGGCATTTTTTGTAATTATGGTGAATCGCCGTGCTGCATCTTTAGTAGAATAATGATATTGCCTCGTGTAGCCTGTGATGTCTCCATAGTGATTGTCAATTCCATGGCAGTACTTGACGACATCGACTTTTAGTGTGTAGTAGATGATGTTCCAGTGTCAGCACGAATCATGAGATGATATATTACTGTATATTCAAAATTGTTACCTCATTAATTGGGGTAGAAATGATATCAAAATGCAGTAAATCATAATGTCATTGTAATTGGATTTGGCATGTGGTATCACAATTCATCCTATTTCATTACATTATGTAGAGTATAGGTGATATACGTACTGCAGATATTGGTGATTATGAGGTGCAAGAAGAAAGAACAAAAGGTGCAACTCACAATACCATTCGAACTTAGACCGCTGTGTACATGTTATTGTTTTCTGCAAGTCTGGAAAGTTAACGGGCTTGGAAAACCACTAGAAGGTTGTTAGACATGCTGCATCAATATGGAGCATTATGAACAGGCACAACTACTTATCTCATTCTTAGTTACTTAAAAAAGGTTAAATTATCAAGCCAGGTACTGTACTTGCTTATGCATATGACACTTTGTGACCGAGTATATCCACAAGTAAATAATAGCCTGATAATTCAAAATCTATTAAGACATGTATTTCTTACCTCCTCAAAAGAATCGGCGCCAAAAGACAGCAAGTGAAAGCTCCAGTAGTAGGTTTTCTCGCCGTTCAGAGGATCGTGAAGCTGGTGAAGAGAGCTCTGGTGATGAAACTACTGGGGATAATCGCTGTCGAATACTAGCACAGTCACCCCACGCTGCAGAACACACTTTCCCTCCTGAAGGAGTTGGTGGGGCATCTGGAGGAATTGGTCCTGATGTTAGCAATGTTGTAGAGGATTCTATGTCGGTGAGTCAAACTTTTAAACTTATTCAATGATGAAGAAGTTACTGTATGTAATGGGATACTCTTTTGTAGTTTCATCCATATTAATAATTTGCCGTTAGGTTTGAAAGTAAATTGCTAAATGGTAGCTAATTAAGATTTTGTAAATGCTTTTCATTTATTGTATCCTACCACACTTTCATCTTTTAATTTCCAGTACTGTAGTTTAAAAATATATTTTTTTTTTACTAACGAGGATATGTATTTTATTGTCATTTAATAAAATTAGCTTTTGATGTATGGGAAGGTAAGTCCAGCATGTGTTCTTTAAGTTTTGTAAAATAAATTATTACATACAGTGCTTATATTTTTATATTGACAGTAGAAAGTAAGATTCTGTAATTCATGCATATGAGTATTCTCTATTCCAATGTTAATTTTATAATACTTAGTTTATAAGCTTCCTTCATTGTTCTTCCAGGCACTACGTGTACATGTTTTCCCCCCAACCCAACAGGATGTGGCCTCTGTGGGGGAAACCACCGAGGAGGAGGATGAACCCATAGAGGAGAATGGGATAGAGTTACAGAAAGTTACTTGCCACACAGCTGACTTTGACAACCTCCAAACTGAAGTAGACAAGGCAATCTCCTACAACCTCGGTCGATCGCAGGTAAAGTGAATGTATTTTCTTTTATCAATTAATTCTTGAAGAGAGAAATATTTTTTTTGTGCAATAGGTTATAATTTCATTAGTACAGGTTGTACATCTCTAGTCCGGCAACCTCGGGACCTGACCGGTGCCGGACCATGGAAATTGCTGGACCATGGAAATTCACCCTTTTCCTGGATAGATAGTGACTTGTGCTTCTGCTTGGAAGCACTAGCACCACTTTCTCTGCATCATGGTCTCTTTGAAGACATATTGAAGGGTTAAATGTCGTATAGTAGCTTCTCAAATTTCGCGAGTTTTTAATTCTTAGCGTATTTTATTGGAACACAAAAAATTAATAAATAAAAATTTTGACGGCGGAAACTTGAATTTCGACGGGTTTGAACGGCCTGCCAACGTGCAGACGACGTGCATAATTGTGTAAACAGCATCATTTCTCATATGTACAAAAGATTCATTATTGTTTATTACTGAATGTCTTTTTTATTGAATTAATGTTTGTGTGCAAAATGAGCAATACAATTCATTAATAATACGTAGAATATTAAAACACACGAGGAAATGACACGGCATTGTTTTCGTTGATTACAAAACCAGTGACTGACTGGTTCTACATCTAAAACTTAAGAAAATAAGACCTTGGCTGTAGCTGTAGTAAAATTAATATGGTTGTTTTAAGTAATCTTATTTAATGTTAATAAATGGAACAATAGAAGTAGCTAACGATAATGGTAAAGAAAAAAGAGATCGCGTATGTAAGTGCGCATGCGCACACGTGAAAACATATCGTCATTACTTTACATAAGAATATGAAAGCAACACTTATTTACTGTTCATATATATTTTAATTAATGTTTCTGAATTTGTTTTTATTGAATTAATGTTTGTGTGTGCAAAATTAACAATACAATTTATTAATAATACGTGGAATATTAGAGACGAGACGGCTGCCGGCATTGTTTATGTTAAAGCTTACAAAACCAGTGACTGATTGGTTCTACATATAAAACTGAAGAAAATAAGACCCTGATTTTAGCTCTAGTAAAATTAATGTAAAAAAATTAATATGGTTGTTTGAAGTACCTGTAATGTTATTTAATGTTAATAAATGGAACAATATAAGTAGCTAACCATTAATGGTAAAAAAACAGTGAGACTGTGCGTATGTAAGTGCGCACATGTGAAAACATATCATTACCCTACATAAGAATATGAAAGCAACACTTATTTACTGCTCGTATATATTGAAGGATTAAATGTTGTACTCTGTATAGACAAGCAGAGAGAGAGAGCAGCCGAACTGCCGGACGTAAACAAACCTTAATTTCCCACATTTTTTTTTTTTTTTTTAAGGGGGATTAGCCCACCTGGGCATAGTCACTGACCCACATTGGGGCCTGAGGGGCAAAAATTTAATACTCCTGTAATAATAATTCAGATAAGTAAAAAAAAAAAAACTAAAATCGTTCCGGACCACGGGAGTTTCCGGACCACAGAATGCCGGACTAGAGAGGTACAACCTGTACTGTAATAATAAATGGAAGAGAGCAAGTGGGATGGTGAGACATTTTGAAATGTAAATTGAAAAGTTCATTATAGATGGATTGATTGAAACTTTGTAATACCATTACCACACTTTTAAATGGGGTTGTGGTCATAGGAATGAAGATCAAGGTCACTGTTGCTAAAGTTGAACGAGTAATCTTTAACTCAAGTATTATTTTTTTATGGAGAGATTTGTAATAATTTTTCTTGGCTTTTTGAAAACAAGAGGAAAACTGTAGTTTTGGGATAACTAATTTCTATCTCTGTCTTCAGGAGGACACCATGCTAAGTGGCTGTGGGCGGCGAAATCTATCTCTTTCAGACTCTCAGTGTGTTACGTCTATCTTCAAGGAAGAAAAATCATCAAACAAAGGTGAATTTTTTTTTTATTCAACAAAAGTGGGCAGCTTTGTAAAACCATTTGGCTTATAAAAGATTGAAAAGAAAAAAGAAAATAAGTATTTAATAGAATACTGTACGTACTACAGGACATGTCTCCTGACTTGTATTGAGCTTAATTCATCATTGAGCAATTTTAACCCTTTCAGTCCTACACTCAGTCTATTTCTGCATTCCCTGTCCTTAAATTTCTTGGGAAAAGGTTTGGAGAGAAAAATGGCCTTATAAATTGATTAAACACTGATGATAGCCATAAAATTGGAAAAAGAAAATACCTGCGACGACTGTATACTGTCTCCAGGTTATCAACTGCAATATTTTGTTTTCTTTTCCGTACATTAGTATGGGCCACTGTCTTCGTGACATGTCCTTGTGTTGACATGTTTTTATACTCAAGCTAAACTTCAACATATTTTTACTATATCAGTACTTTTCCTCCAGATTATGCCCCACTTCTTCCTGGTATTTGTCTATAAAAGATCTAGGGTATTTTAAATTCAATCCAATATTATAGATATACGTACAGTACAGGGAGTATTCATATTCCTCATCAATGAATTCCAGACTGCATACTCATGGAGCACATAAAACATTGATGAAAATACTGACTTTGATTCTATTGTGGTGAGAATAATAATAATGAATAGAGTGTTATCTCTCTTAGCCAGAAAAATTGGTGCAGAGCACTTCCGGGAATAAGAGATTTCCGGGTAACGAGACAACTCTAAGCCGAAAAAAATTCTCTCATCCCCGGAATTTTACGGATACTACCAGGAAATTTTTCCGGAAAATGTGCCCCTCGGAAAATCATTCTCAAAGCCTGAATTTTGGGGAAAGTTCCAGCTTTGGGAATGATTTTCCCGAGAAAATTTCAATTCCCGCTATTGGAGAGTTTGAGTTAAGAGAGATTCTGGCCAACGGAGATACTGTATTACTGTTGTTGAACACATATTAGTAGGTTTTCTATAAATTCTGAACTTAAAGGTGTTACCTACTCTGTGGATCAGACAGTCGCTAGCTACTTCCACAGTGAATTTGAAACGGGCGTATGAGGCATGAATGGAGCTGTGTCACAGCCAAGACTGGATTTTTTCTGCGAGTCTAAAATACGCATTTCACGTGGACAGATACACAGCTGTATTTATTTACGCAAACACCACTGTACACCCACTAAAAATTATTCAGCACCCATGTCATATTGTATCACGCCGTAAGGGTGCTGAATATTTTCTTAAGGGTGTATATGATACTTGTACACACACACACACACACATATATATACATGCATGCTACATACATGTACACCCACTAACAAATTATTCGGCACCCTTACAGCGTGATACAATATGACACGGGTGCTGAATAATTTTACAATATATTGCAAATAAACAAAATGATGTATACCACTACTGTACTGTATATACAGAACTGGACTCACCAGCTGATGCTGTCATCTTGAGCCTACAATAAGCATACACTGTCCACTCTGCTTAATATACAGTACAGAATATGTAACTATAATCACTTTTTATGTCTTAACATTGTATTCTTGGCTGATTGTGTTCTTGTACAGTCATGTACAGTACCTGTACTGCGCAACACAAACTCGCAAAAATTATTGAAGAGTGCTGGGGACTCGGGAGATAATAGTAATTTTTATTATTAAATTTCTTGTATTCAGGCTCAGAAGAGGAAGGTGTGGGGAAGCGGAAGCTGTTGGCTAGTAGGAGTGACAGTGGAGGCAGTGAGGTAAGATCATTGATTGTGTATTTGATTATTTATAATAGTTAAGTGCTCATCATGGTGTCAAAGTTATTACCATTTTCAAAATGTGATGCATACAGAATTTTTCCAAAATAGTTTTTGTTCGTATACCAACTTCACTTTATTTATTAAAGGGTAGACTTGCATTTTTAATAAATTTGTTTCTTATTGTGTATATGTATTGTGTGTGTGTGTGTGTGTGCACGTGGACAAGCACACACATATTTACAATACAGGTAAGGAATTTGCTGTCTCTAGAACGAATGGCTCCCTGTCTCAGCCGCAAAAATGCCGGCAACTTTAAAACTACCCACAGACATTCTTGGGTACATCCAGGGTGTCATCCACGAATAATAGAGGACAGCAAAATAAAAATCCACAAATTTGGAGAGGCCCCTGTAGTCAAACTTCCCAAATTTGAATTGTCTGGGAACACACACTGTTCAAGTTCTGGAAAATTTTGAACTTTGGATATCTAAATATCATGGTCTTTTTGTACACAATTTAAGTATAATAATTATAGGGAAGTTGCTCAATATTCTATTATTTTTTTAATTCTTGAAATACTGTGGAAGGTAAAAGTCATTGTTTGCCTTTAAACTTCATTATATGTAATATTTACAAAAAAAAAGAAAGAAAAAAACAATATACAAGTAGTACATTACATTATAAAAACAAATTATATTCTCTCACTACCAGACCAAGTGGGGAAATTTTCAAGCATCCCCTCACCTGACAAAACCATCCTCATCCAGTAAGCTTTATTATATGTTTAAACCGTATACTGTATCAACTTGTAATTTTGGGTAATATGTTTTTTTTTTACTCTTGCATGCACACACCATCCTTTGTACAGAATGTACAAAAAAGATGTACTGTACTTCCCATAAGGTAAAAAACATAAAGGGAATAAACATTTCTTTGTGCACTGTGTAGGGAAATGAATGAAAAATATTACGACGTCCAAGTGACTCGCAGATGTTCATAATAACATCTACTGGCTCAGAGGTGCTCATTATGATCACCCAAGTGAATCACAGATAATTATAATGGCCCCCAAGTGAATCACATCTGATCAAAATGGCACCAACTTACTCAAGTCCTTATGATGATCACAGGTGACTCAGAGTACCATAATGTTGCCAAGTGACTCAATTGCTCACAGTGGCACTTTGTGATTCCAAATTTCAAGGGATATGTGTGGTTGTGTGTACACTAATGCTTGCATGTGTACATGTTACCTTCTTGTGTCTTCATGTAGCAATAATTTTTTATTTGTTTATTTTTTTTTTTATTTCAGAACAAATCTTCCTTGGATGAAAATGGAAATCCTGTGATGTCTACTTCAAGCAGTTCTGGCTTGTCCTCATCAGTTTCAACTAGGGAGAATCACGGTACTTTTGTAGTGCAGGCTCATCATCCACGTAAAAATGGCACTAGCATTTCTCATAAGGACGCTAGCAGGTTTGACCGGGTCAAAGCTAGAAATGATAAGAAAAAGGTGAGATTGAAAACTATATTGCTCTTCATTGTTGAGTTCCAAATAATCCAAGTTATTTGAAGATTTTTTGTTAAACATTATTCTAATTAAGGCAAAAGTAATTTGTGATATATGGAGATACTAGTGAGTACAGTCATTGATTTGTGCTTAAAAACACTCGTATGATGGCTTATTGCAGGGCTTATAATTCTGGAATAGTCTTTCAACTAGTTAATTTTAATTTTGTGTTTGGTTGTGAAAAGCATTTTGACTATACAGTATCTACATTTCAGTATGACAAACTTCCTACAAAATACAGGTCAAGTTTTATCTGAGACTGATGGCATAAGTGGACTGAAGCTTCTTGAATTTTGTAGAATTCATGAAATTTAGTTTTGACGTGTTTTCCTTAATTGGTAATTTATTGTTAATGTTAGTGTGTGTGTGTTCCTTCTCTAATTGGTGTATGGTATATTGGTCAGTTTGCTGTTGATGATAATTGCCCCCACAATCTGTCCATCTGTTTCCATAACATGTTTAAGGGATTTTATGCAAAATTGCCTTCTACAACTTACAGTACAGTACTCCTGTGTCAGTTCAAATTTTTAACACTTCTGTATTAATTTCAATTGAGTAAATTGGCCTGGCTGTTTGATATCTCCTCCTCTCTGTGTGGGTGCTTACTTGTTTGTTTTTTAGGTCATGGTACTCTCTACAACGGCCCCAACAAAAGCAAACGATTGATTCATATGATCAGTTGCTGTAAATGTTAGTCTGATCCAACATTTCAAATATACATTATATTGAATAATCATCCTTGTCAATCTGGTTATCACATAAGGGAAGCAGTTGCGTCTCACTTGGAAGGGAAAGAATGTTAGATATGTCGGCAATTAGAAACCAGGTGATACTGGTAAATAAAAGGATTGAACGTAGTACAGACTAAGAAAAAAAGGGAAACGATAAATATAGATCTACCAAAAGTAGTATTTGCTGAAAGAACAAAGAGTAGGAAGAAGTGAGGCAGTGACCCACTCATGCTGTACAGTAAATGTTGGCACTGAAGAGAACCAACAAAAAGGACACATACAGTATACTGTACTGCATAGATAAAATTGAATGAAGGTGCCAAATTTTGGTTAGATTTATTTATAGTTATGACCAAGCTGATGTCCTCACTAATTTTTTTATCTCAACATGTCCATCGGGTTACAACCCAGATAACCCTCTGACAATAGCGGCTGGGACTATTGCTAAACACCTGAAACTAGAACCTTGAAAAATTAGTGGAATTGATAGTCATCACTTAAGGTTGAATGCAATAAGTCATGGTGTTATATCTGCCTTGACTTTGGCATATGCTGTGACTTCAGACTAAACCTCAGCTTCAGCTGCCCTCAACTGGTGTGCAGATGCTGACATGTCAGCATTGTTTCATAAAGGGAGGAACTATTGCTTTTCCCACTAATTTTAGTGATTGGAAGGATTTAAGACTGTTTTACAGTTGTCACCTGGATGCGGTGGTCGAGTGGATACAGCGCTCGCCTCCTATTCCCAGGGTCAGTGGTTTGATCCCTGGCCATTCTCAGCTCACCCAGCTGTAAATGGAAATTTGGTTTACAACTTGGGGAAGTGAATGCGGTGGAGTGCAGTACCGGCCATGCTGCCTCCTTTGTACTGAAGGCTTAGTATACATTGTGCTGTATCCACATTGTCCCTAATTGGCAGTCATGCCTATGGGATCCACTTTCGCTTTTCACAGTTTTCAACATAATTATTAAGAAGGTGAGTTTGGCCTTAGTTAAATTTTGTTGAAAGTGTTATCAACAGTTTGGTAATGACCCAATTTGAGTTCAACCATCAGGTTGGTACGTGTGGGGCTGACAAACCTATGCTGTGCCAAGGGGAGGGAGGAAACCCTGATTTCACAGTAAGTAACAAAGCATGTCTTCTAAGACTTTCTTTTTTCTTGCTCTACCAGGCATGGTGATTGGCCTGAGGAGGAATAACTAGTGTGATCTGAAATAGAATTAATAGAAGTTTAATTTAGATAGTTTAGGGGTCTACTGGAGTTCTACCTTAAATGGACTAGTAAATAATATTTTAATTTTGAGGCTATTGTATGATCTCGTATGATCTGTAATAGATCATGGGGAATTCTTTAGGTTTGTTGACTTGTGTGGGTTAGGTTGTTTGAATTGGGATTTAGGTCTGTAGACTTTCCCATAAGAAGCTTGAGTTTCAATCCTCCATATCAGTGTTACCTCAATGTAAGTGCCCTTGAATTGAGATTAAGTTCCACTACTCTCATGCCAAGTTAAGCACTTGCAACATGGATGGCATTTTAAGTTTTCCTTTGGTATATAGTTACATTCTTAATAAGTAATTGGTTTTGTGGGTATGACTTCCTGAGCATGGGAAATTGGTTCTTTAGATGGATAGTGAGCAATTTTCCGTGTAAATTATGGTAACTAGTAATGCAAGCCGAAATTGTAAGGGCACTTTAGACTTGGGCCTTAAGATTGATTCATATTGTGTCTAGGGAGTGCAAGTTACTTTTTGAAGGTGGAGTTAAGTACTGGAGGTCAAAGAGTGGCTTAAAGTGGAGTAAGATTTGGAAATTAGTGACAATATGTCAAAGGTAAATACTGAGGATGCTCTTAAGAGTTAAAAATTTGGCTATCTACTTCCTGTGATTGTAATAATGGGAAGGATAAACCTAGGAGCTAAATTGTGGAAACTTATTGTTGATAGTGAATGGGTCTTTTCAACATAAAGATGACCTTGCAAAAGTTAGTAAGTTAAGATAACTTTTGGGGTCAGCAAGATTTATTGCATTATTTTTTAGACCTTTCATCTGATAGGTCAGATCCCTTGGGTCAGAATAAGGATTTGGTTATTCTGGAAGGGGTGGGGATGTAACTCCCCTTCCTCTTTTCCCAGTAATGTTGCTGTGTTGGAAAAAAATGTAATGATTGAGCCATAGTGTCTTTTTAGTTGATTACAGAGGTAGCATCTGACGTCGTCTCCCACGGAGGTAATACTACCTGAGGAGTACAAAGTTCAGCATTTTATCAAAAGGGTCTTTGAATCTTTGGAGACTGTGTGCCAAGAATCTTTCAGTGGAAATCCATCCTTCAGTTTTCCCAGACTTTTGGTCTCAGATTCATTGAGCCTTTCAAGTTATGGAAAGGACTTAACATGGAAAGTGGGGATTGTTCCTTATATTTTGTTTCAGATGAGCAGGACTAGGAGGCTCTAAGAGGTTACTTAACTAAAACGTTTAGGGAAAATGTAAGTCAGGAGAGAATTACATTTTCTGATGAAGTCAAGTCTCTGAGGTTTCCTGAGGTTGAAGTATTGCACTAGACTTCAGGTGGATGAGTTAGTTCATCCCAGATGTAAAGTAAAAAATAATTTATGTTCTGCAGGTGAGATGGAGCCTATGGAAAGACCTTCAGTCAACCTTTATATAGTTAAAAACTTTTTATTAGCATGTTACTGTTTACAAAATGTTGAAGAAGTTATTAATCTTAAGTCAAGGAAATGAGTTTCCTATTCTTAAGAAAGGTAATTCGAGAGTCAGTTACTCTCCTTCCTCTCAGTTGGTAGCTGTGGACTTGGTTGGAACTGAGGTTTGAATCCTGGAATCACAGCGAATGGCCAAGCTAAGTCAAGTCACAGTGTACACAGGGTGATGTGATCTTAAGTGGTGACTTGTTTGTAAGACCCATTTTAAGGGCAATATTCTCAATGGGAAGGTAAAACTAGTTAAGAAATTACTTCCGTATGTCACCCAGAGTTATTTGGGGTTTAGCTTCAAATATTTTATTTGGTAACATATGGATAATTTATAAGCTTGGTCATAAATGCGATATCAAGATCATATTAGGAGTAATATATATACAGTATTTAATTTTTTAGTTTTACAAAGTGTGAACCTAAGTACAAGTTGATGATGTTAAGAGAACAAAAGCATTATGTTTAAACAGTTAAAAAAGCGATTGTCGGTAACAGAGTTGTTAAATTTGTATATCGATGAATAAGTGAATAGAATAGAGACGGGAATTTCACTTTTTGGGCAAACTTAATAGTCTAGTATTTTCACTTGATATTTTCATTCAACATAAAGATTAGGAAAAATATATTTATACTATTACAGTACAGTACAGGCATCCCCCTATTACGAAAGGGTTTCTTTTCTGCATTGATTTAAATGTACATTCAATAATTGGAGATAGTTCCCCCCAATATATATATATATATATATATATATATATATATATATATACATACACACACACACAGGTAGTTCTGCTATAACGCGATAATTGTGTTCTTGTAAAATATCGTGTTATAGAAAATCGCGTAATAGAAATAACAGGGCTTATGGAGAAAATAGGGTTTGGTGCAGATTACTCGAAATCGAAAAAATTTAGTAGTTAGCCTAACACAAAGGATAGCACAGTCTAAATAAAGGTTACATTCATATCTAATAATGAAATCATACAGTAAATGTAACACTTTACCTTGAAAAAATATGAATGTAACTTGATGGGGGAGAAGGGTGATTTTGAGGTTGATAACATCGAGCTTCTCTTCAAGTGTTATATCCTTTCTTTTACGATCATCACCGGGAATTCTATCACCAGAACGCTTCTTGTTGATATTCTTCTTTACCATATTCACAGTTAATACCACAAAATTGGAGAAATAGTCAGCAAAAATCGCGTTATACAAATATCGTTCCTAATTCATAAATCGCGTTTGAGCAAATTCGCGTTATCAAAAAATATGAATGTAACTTGATGGGGGAGAAGGGTGATTTTGAGGTTGATAACATCGAGCTTCTCTTCAAGTGTTATATCCTTTCTTTTACGATCATCACCGGGAATTCTATCACCAGAACGCTTCTTGTTGATATTCTTCTTTACCATATTCACAGTTAATACCACAAAATTGGAGAAATAGTAAGCAAAAATCGCGTTATACAAATATCGTTCCTAATTCATAAATCGCGTTTGAGCAAATTCGCGTTATCAAAAAATATGAATGTAACTTGATGGGGGAGAAGGGTGATTTTGAGGTTGATAACATCGAGCTTCTCTTCAAGTGTTATATCCTTTCTTTTACGATCATCACCGGGAATTCTATCACCAGAACGCTTCTTGTTGATATTCTTCTTTACCATATTCACAGTTAATACCACAAAATTGGAGAAATAGTAAGCAAAAATCGCGTTATACAAATATCGTTCCTAATTCATAAATCATTAGAGCAAATTCGCGTTATCAAAACACGCGTTATAGCAGAACTCACTGTGTGTGTGTGTATATATATATATATATATATATGTATATATATATATATATATATATATATATATATATATATATATATATATATATATATATATATATATATATATATATATATATATATATATATATATATATATATATATATATATATATATATATATATATATATATATATATATATATATATATATATATATATATATATATATATATATATATATATATATATATATATTATGGTGCGAAAGTTGTTGTTAGTCAGGTGACGCTACACTCGCATGCTCTCGTGTATTGCCAGTAATGTCCACGCATAACTTTTTTTCACGTCCTCATTCCACACTTTGTTATAACTATATTTTATTGTACGTAATTAGCATACTGTACTGTATACGATTTAAGAACACAGGATAATTTTCTTTTATTTAATTTGCCACCTATTACTTGAGAGTAAATGAGGAAAAATTGGACAATCCGGCAACTGGCTGAGTGACTGCAGGTGAAGACAAGTCTACTGAGTTTGAGGAGTAAGTTATATGGTGATTGTAGGAGAATGATGACACATTTAGTGCTGAATTTTAGACTTAATAACAATGTGAGTGTTAAGGAATTATGAAATAAGTTAGTGAAACAAGTAAACATACTGATAGGAGAATAAAATCTCCATTGTTTTGGCGTATTCTCATTATTGCTTAGGAAAAATTACGAGATTGGCTAAACAAAGAAGTTTTCATTTCATTGGATTTTTCGTTCATAAGTCAAACTGTTTATTTAATTTTTTCCCCTCCATTACTGCAGATTTTTTTAAAACCAAACCTTCGTAAATTTGGGACTGCCTGTATTTTGCTTTGGGGCACAGTATTCATTTGATTTAATGTGGGGTATATGGTTGGTAGATGAATAGATAAAGAATGAAGACCAATTTATCATTGTTCATGTTTCATTGTTCCCATGTTGTTTTTCACGGGAATCATGTCCAAGGTTGTCCTGTCACTAAGAAAGCTATGTTGGGAAATATCATTTGGAACAGGAAAAAGTATCATTGTACTGTATGATCTCTGGGTATAATTGTTCCAAGTAACCATATTTTTTCAGGTTATTAACCCTTAAATGGCAAGTAAGGAATCCCTGATCCCTCCCCAGTGTGCAAAATTTGGACCGCAAGGAACATGAAACATTGATTGTTGTTGGCCTCCGTCCCTACAGCTAACATCAGTTGATATTGGCTGCCATTTTAGGGTTAAGCCTAGAATGGTCTTCACAAAATTCTAAGCAACTAGAGGAACCAAAAACCATTTATATTACAATTCAAGATTCTATATGTTGTGGTTGATGTACTGTACTGTGTTGCTAGTGTAGTACCCGTGGTATAGTGGTCAGCATAGTCACCTTGCAAGCAAGTGGTCACTGGTTCTATCCCAGGATAGGGTGACACTGGATAAGTTGATCGATTATCAGATTATATCGTTGAGTGATGAACTCAATGCAGTTGGTGAGTTGGTCAGCCTTCTTGGGTTATTCCATAATACTAGGTCAAATTGCTTTTTAATTCAGGGTATGGTTGTTGTGATGGTGACAACTTGTTTACTTGTGTGTTTTATTTAGTACTGTATTTGCCTCCTTCAAAGCTTCATTAACAATGACATTATAATTTTCCAGGCCAACAAAGAAAAGGATGTTGTGAACATTAAAGAGACACCTGGGTTTTGTGGTGACCAAGACCTCAACGATATCCTCAAGTTCCTGGGAGCTGAAGTTGATTCTTCTAATGGCAAAAATAAGAAGAAACACAAAGGAAAGAAAGATGACAATCGAGAGGAAAAGGAAGGAAAAAAGAAAAATAAGAATTCTGAAAAAATAACTGAGGATACTGTGGGGGAAAAATGTAGAAGCGACGATGGCAGGTGGAAATTTAATGAGGAAAATAGTTGTGTTGTGAGTGAGGTTTCCCGTGATAATAATAATAGAAGAAGCAAAGAAAGAGAGGAAGAGAAGAAGGCAAATAATAATAAGAAGAATAAAAGTAATGATAAGAAAAATAAGAAAGGCTCTGGCAATTTGCGTGAATCCAGCAGTGTAGAAGATCTTGTGTCAAAGAGCAAACAAAGTGACAATGTGCGTGATATACGTAAACAGGTGACGGTAGATGATGGGGATATGTCTCTTAGTGTTTTAAATACATATCACAATAATAAGAAAGTTGATAAAATGAATAATGTCATAACAGATGGACCATATATAAAGGAGCCAGATATTGTGGATATAGGAAATGACAATGAGGTTGATTTGCATCAAGCTACTTCAGATTTTGTAGCTGATTTTTACAGTGCAGGAGACTCATTCCTAACTGCAGATGCCCCTCATACACCTTCATCACCATCTGGTGGTGATTTTGAAGTTGTGAGTAAAAAGAAAAGGAGTAAACGATGTAAGAATGGGTCACAGATAACATCCTATGGTTTGAGGAGTGGAGGTTTTGACAAAGTGAGTGGTGGTAGCAACAGTGGGAGCATATATGGTGATGGTGGTATATGTTTACCTCGATTTTCTCAAAGATCAGGTGGAAGTTACGAAAGACCTCACATTAACTTTGCGGAAGGACCACGTTCAGCCCATGAAAACCCTTTTTGGGCACCTTGGTCACAGTTGGGTGTTGGTGAGAGATATGGGGGAGACCGGTACACAGGTACAACCACAAGTGCCCCCCATAGTGAAGATTCGGGCTCAGATGGGGATGATTCTGTACACTCGATGCCTGTTCCTTCCATTACCCCAAGGCCTGACGTCCGTAAACCTCCTCCCTCCTCAGATTCAACACCTCAAGCTTCATATGCAAACATTGCTAAGCTTGCTGCCTCTGCTAATCGTTCGCAGATGAAGCGAATATTACCTTCAGCTAGCCAGCCTGGAGCTGTTGTTTTGAAGGAATTAGAAGGGGAACCCAGTTTCAATGAAAGTGTGGAACTAATGGACTCAAAGTCATCATTGTTGACTGAATCTCGTCCTACTAACATATTAGATGACAATTTCCCATCTTTAGCAGAAAGTTTAGGTGGTATATGCCCTCCTAGTGCAATATCCACCTTGAAATCAAGTGAATTGCGGACCAACCCCCTGAGTGAGAATTTAGTGATGCAGCCTGGAAATGTTTGTGTAGTGCATAACCCTGATCAGTTAAAAGAAACCTCTGTTGTTGGGGAGACTATTTGTGGGCAGAAAGAAAGTACAGATCGTATTTTAATAACAGCACCTGTTAATAGTGTTGATGGAGTGACAACAGAAAAGCGACTAATTAAGTCTCCAAATGAGTCTCTCTCAAACTCTGTGTTACAGACTCAGCAGCAGCAAATATCTGTCCAACACCAAGAACAATATCAAATGCAGCAGCCTCCTCCTCATATACAACAACAGCACCCGCAGCATTATCAACAAGACAATAAACATCAGACTGTGCATAATCAGCATAATACTCAGCATCCTCATTATACTCCGACTCAACAGCTACCAGTACAACACAACCAATATCAACGACAAAATTTGCATCCTCACTCAGGTCAGAACCCTTCATACCACTCACAGCAAAATACTCAAATACCAATTCAACAGCAAAAACAAACTCAACAGTTGTCCCAACAGTCTCACCCAGCTCCACCTTTTACACAACCTCCTCCCCCATTACAACAGCAGCTTCAGCAGACTCAACCACCACAACTTCCAAAACAGAATATCCAAAACCCACAACCTCAACAAAGTCTGCTATTGCAACCAAATCCTCATCCCCAACAAAGTGCACATCCACAATCCAACATGCATTCCCAGCTGAGTTTGCAAACACAACCAAACTCACACATCCAGCCAAACATGCAGTCTCAAAATCCACATCCCCAGCAGAACCCTCATTCACAGAAGAACCCTCATTCCCAACAGAACCCTCATCCCCAGCAGAACCCTCATCCCCAGCAGAACCCTCATCCCCAGCAGAACCCTCATCCTCAGCAGAACCCTCATCCTCAGCAGAACCCTCATCCTCAGCAGAACCCTCATCCCCAGCAGAATCTGCTCCAACAAAACCCACATCCACAACAACAACAACATCCACACCCCCAGCAGAATCCACACCCCCAACAAAACACCCCTCCCCAACAGAATACACATCTGCAACCAAACCTTCATCCTCAAGGACATTCACATTCTCAAACCAGCTTGCTTACTCAACAGATTTCACCTCGCCAACAAAGTCTGCATCCACAGTTAAACCCACATTCCCTACAAAATCCACTTCCTCAACAAAGTCTGCATCCCCAGTCAAACCCACAGCAAAATCCACCATCCCAACAGACTCCTCAGCCTCAGCAAAGTCCACAGTCTCAGCGAAGTCCACTGCCACAGCAAAGTCCAAAGCCATTGCAGACCTCTTTGGAACAAAACATGCTACCTGAGCAGTCCTCTGTTCCCTTACTTAGCAATGCTAATGGACTGTTGGTGGGGGATGCCAGTGAGGACAAACAGACTCTTGGTAGCAGATGCCAAGGTAAACCAACCAAGAATGGGCCAGTGGCACCCAGTGGTCAGTCAGGTGATACTAGTCGTGTGAAGAAACTGGAGCCTGCAGTTGTATTTACAGACAATGCCAAATTCAATCTTAGTGTCAGTGGAATTGAATTTGGCTTTGGGTTTGATGATCCCATAGTGACAACTAGTGATAATGAAGTGAGTGGAAATGACACTTGTGTGTTAGATAATGAAGACAGTAATTGTAATAATAACAATAACAACCACTTGAAAAATAACTTAACAGTGACAAAAGACTTCTGCAAATTGTTTAATGCACCCAAGAATGACAAGATTAACTACAACTATGAAGAGCTCATTAAACATGTTTCTGAAGGTAAATTTTATTTAAATTTATGTAGTGCAGTAGTGTTTGATAGCTGTGTAGTTGGTATTATTTTTATTTATAAGATTTTGATAGTTGTTCAAGTGAGGTACATTGCATACCTGGTACACTAAGTGATGCTCTTGGCATCTGAAAGTCATTTACGATACAATTTATTATTAAATATAATAGCCATGTTTAGAAAGTGAAAGATTGCATTCACACAAGGTAAGAAACAAATTTAACCAGTTACTGATCAGAAATTTTTCCCTTAATGTTTTAATTATACTTGATCATTGTTGATTTTGTTAGTTTTGAGGCTGATAGAACAGGTAAGAATTCCAAATTTACTGCATCTTTTTTGTTTGCCTTTGTGAAAGAGATAGTAGGCGAACAATTGTTACCCGTGACTTGGCTGTCTTACTTAAACTTAGGTTAAGCCATTTCTTTCATAAGCTTCTTTTTGAGTAATGTACTAGTTTGACATAATTATATACTGTACTGTAGTTAGTAAAGGTAAATTGAAATGATAGCCAAGTAAAAAACTAAGTACAATACAGTGAACCTTTACCAGTCAGGGTTTACCAACCGTGACTTTCGGTATCAATGTTTTATTTTTTGTACACAATCTTGCCAACCACGGTCTCCAATTTTTAGTATCCACAGGAGAGTTGTAACCCTGTGTTACGGGGAATGGTCTCTAGTTCAGGTCCATCAGGTGGCTTGTCTTGTTCGCTTCATCGTGTATACCTTATGTTCTTCAAACAACACTTTGTTATACCATACCCAGATCCTCTTCCTTTCTCTAACCTCTCTTTATATATTTCCTTATTTTCATCCTTATTATTGCACTCGTGGGTGTAACTACCCTGGTCATTCACTGTGTCACTGTTGATTAAAAGTGTTTATGCCTTTATTTCATAACTATTTTGTAGATAGAGAGAAACACCATTTTTTTTTACTAAATTACAAGGATATTAGTTCAATTATTATTTAAATAAAAATTGGTGAATAGATAATGTATTCTACACTTAGAAAAATCAAATTTTCCATGCCATCAATTGTTTTTTATATTATAAGCTTAAATAAAAGTACTGTACAAGGCATGAGAATAAGTAATGAAACAAAATACTGTACTGACAAAATAAGAAAATGGGAGAAGTAATCTCAGACATGTACTTTAGGTTCCCATCATGATATCATGTCAAAATATTTTGTTTAAGGACATTTTATTGAAATGGTCTTCTGGAGAATTTATTCAGGGTCATTATGGTACCAATTGCATCTCTTATCACAATTAGAACAGATGCTGTGGATAAAACTTTATAGTGTACACTATCGCTAGCCATAAATATTTTCGCTCGTGGCTGCAACCTAATATTATGGGAATGATAAGAATGCTATAACACTGTATACAGTAGTATATAAACTCATCCAGCAGGTACAGATGTGGATGTTGAATTGTATACAGATGCTCTGTGGATGTAAGGTACACCACTAATATATCCTGCCGATATCTGGTCTTGAACCTTCTTGTGTTTACTTTCTTGGCTAAGTTCAAAATCTTTCAAACATTTCAGTGATCACAGTACCCACGAAAAAAAAAATATTATTTACAGTACATCTCTACCAAATGCAGATATTGGTAAGCTTAGTGTAAGGTACTAAATAAACATAATAAAACAGCTTCAAGCAGACAGTGCAGCTCATGGTATGAAATGGGCTCATCACTTTTGGGGGTAGGAACTTGCTCTCATAAATAAAAATTTTGGCTGTAGTATATTTACTGTTTTTTTTTTATTTTTATTAATTACTGGACATGTACTTTATGTAAAACTAGGTTTATGAACTAGTAATTTTAGGTATGGATCAATTTCATAAAAGGAACTTTTCAGGAATGTTTGTTTCATGCAGGGATAATTCATATGCATTGTTTTCTAAAGATTTTATATTTTTCCATTTTCAAAACAACAATGTGATGAATCGGTGTTTTTTTTGGAAGTCAAGCATTGTTTTGGGAAAACAACACAAATATGATCAAAGAAAATAGCGGTCTTACATTACATTTTTTCTATTATTGGCAACAGCACTGGGCCAGCACTAGGGTTGACATTCATTTTTATATCTGCCTTGCTTTGTACTGGAACACAGTGTTGTACAGTATATGCTGTGTCAGTTCAATGGATGGTAAATACAAACTATACTGTCTTATAAATTTACAGCCATGTCTCTATTTATGTATACTGTACTGTATCATTTTTAATTTGTCAATAAGGATCAGTGTTACCCAACCCACATCTAACCATCATACCATTTCACATTGATTTAATTAACTTGTGGGACAGCAACAGTATACAGTGTATTATACAGGCACAAGTTTACTTTGCATGTGTTAATATTACAATACCGGTACTTAAACTACGTACCGTATATTTCTTTTCATGTGTCGTTTTTTTATGCTTCCTTAATGCCAATGCCTAAAAATTATGTAACACCACCTCATACATTGTTACGATGGCATATTTAGGTGTTTAGGGGCCATAATATATTGGCCACCTGTGGTTTGGAAAATTCTCTGGTCTGGTCCCAAGGGTGCCTGATTTGAGAGGTTCAAACTGTATACTGTATATATATTTTGGAATTAATGCCATTGGTACCCTAAGTGTGAAGGTAAAGAGATTCTTGCAAATAAGTTTTTGTTTCTTAGCAGTAGTTGTAATTGTAAGGGTGATGGGCAGATTTTTTATTGAATTTTTTATTTTTTATTATTATTATTATTATTAAGAGAGAAAAGTTTAATTTTAAAGTTTCAAGAGTGAAAGCCACTGATTCCCTAAATATGCATTTGGGTGAATTGATTGATGACTACTTTTTAAGGCATTTGCTTCTGCATCATTTTCTGGAGCACATAAACACTCCATGCACTGTACTGTATTTAATTTTTTTTTTAACAGAGATTCTGTTACTGTATTTTAATATTTGTGACTGAGATATACACTTGGTAAAAAAACTACCTTTACAATTTCTGCGCGAAACAAACTGACACTACAAACGAAATGCTTCAAAAAGGCCCCTGAGGCATTCCTCTCATTGGTAGCCCTGTGCATGTATGGGTTCGGCCACACGTGCCCGAAATAAGTAATCGGCACTCTGAAACGAGTCAGAGTTAGTGTTGTAGCAGCCTAATATTGTGATTTATGTAATAAGTGATACCAACATTTCCTGTTATCTTACCTAAAGAATGTGTATGTTACCGGGTATATGAACTGTGGAGCTATTCATATGTTTCGGAACAGATGGTATATTTTCCAATACGAATAAAGAATGACATAACGTGGCATTAGCCCAAAGTGAAGTAGCAATACAAATAGAGATTCAAAATTCGGTTGCAAAATAATCTTATACCTTTACAATATCCACTAATTCTGCCAAACATATAATGCATTCCTATATGGCAGCTCATCCACTTCCATGGTTACTGTAGTCCACGGTGTGTGGAACATTTAATATAACATTCATTACAGTTTAACTTCACTAGATATACTGATATTCTCCAGTCATATTGTAACAGAGTAATTCAATATTATCAATGAAATAGCTAATTTCGGCCTACCAAATTAAGTACGAAATGTCTCGCATTCAGGCCTACCAACCCTCGCGACACAGCGGGAATGTTCAGTTGGAAAAATCGTCGGACCCCATCTGTACAGTAGTTTTTTTACCGAGTGTACAGTAACATAATTCATCACACCAATCAAGAAAAGATTTTCCTATATCTGGATTTTCTATCATTTAACAGATTTTGCTGTATTTATAGGTAACCTTGCTTTGCAGTTGTATCCCAAGAAAAGGCTGTATGATGCAAATCCACATAAAAAGAACCTAATTTTATACAGTAAATGAGTGTTAGATTTTTAAATCCCCATCATTGGACTTAATGTTCACACTCTTAAAATAAAACAATTACAGTAGTGTATAAATAAGAATATAATTGTGGAAGTATGGCACACAATTATCATTGTTCCTGTTACCTTATTGTAATTATCATCTTCATCTTATATCTTTACCCTTAGCTTACCATTAGCAGGTTCCTTATTTTTGATGTTACCTTCGTAGCTACTGGGGTTGACTGGGACCGCGCACTTCCCATCTTTTCAGTATTTAACTTGGTTGTACACACACTTGACGTGTTCATATTATAACATGCCATGTGAAAAGGGAGACTCCACTTTCAAATCATTGAATTCTGTACAGCAAGGTGCATCTCACTGAGGAGTAATACTGCAGTAGGGTATGTGGGTATTGCCATTAGGTTAGTGTAGTACCTTGCTAACTCCATGGGTTATGTTGTTGAATTCTCCTGTGGTTGGCTTGGGGCCTATCAAAGGGAAATCGGGGTGTTGGGAAGTGATCTCTCGAGAGATATATTGCCAAAGTCCTATAATGTACAGCTTAAGGTTTAAATTAAGTATAGTGTGTATGTGATGCTAAAAAAAAAAAAATATATATATATATATATATATATATATATATACACACATACACACATATATACACACACATACACACACACACACACACACACACACACACACACACACAATCAACACCTCAACCCGCCAGGATTCGAACCCACGGCCCACGAGCACATGACTGTGACCGGGGAACGCTAACCGCTGGACCACCTGACCACCAACCGTTGTGTGCTATTTAATGATTAGTAGGGTCATTACCTAATACCTGACCATTGTGGACCTGGTCTCACCCTCCTCTGTTTATATACACCTTGGTTTGTATTTCTCTTTAGTCTGTACTCACCCCTGAAGATGTAAATTACACGAAAGCGCTTGGGAACTTCGTGTTTTCTTCTTTCCTTGTGGTTATCAGCATATATATATTAATATTTTTGTTTTTTAGCATCACATACACACTATACTTAATTTAAGCCACTGTAGGTTATACACAGTTGTGCAATGGAGCAGGTCCATGCTTAGTGTCGATGCTTTCCTTAGTAATGTAAATATGTGTATGAAGTCATTATACCCTACAAGGTTTTCATACCCAAATGTGTGTATGAATAATATATTTAGAAGATTTTTTTTTTTACTAAATATAATGTGTAGGGGCAGAAAACATACATTTAAGAGGTAAGCCTTTCTGAATAGGTTAGTACCAGTTTCTATGTTTGGCAGCCGCCCATACTTCTCAGTTATCCCAAACCACCGAAGCATGTTCACATTGCATGCCTTTTTTTTGTGTTTACTGGTATATCTCCTATTTTTTAGTTTTATTTTGTTTTAGTAAATACATGTAGGTATGCTGATTTATTCTTTTACATTTATTTTTGTTTATGCAAATAAAATTAATTTCCATTAATTTTGTAAAAAAAAAAATTTTTGTTGTGTAGAATGTACAGTATTTCATCAATGAAGGAACCGTATAATTTTTTTAAGCAATAGTGACTTGTTGAATTGGGTAGCTACACTTGGGCTATGATGTGTGTGGTTTCCAGCCACCCCAGCCTCCTGACCAGGAGACAGTTAAATGATTAATTATTGACAGGACAGTAGAAAGCCATACAGTATATTTTATGAAGGAGGAAAATAAGCGAAATTATATAAAGAGGTGAGAGAAGTAAGAGAAACTTAGCATGGTAGATGATAGATTGTCTACAAACTAATACTGTGGTTGGTTAAACTGTACAATATATAAAATGTGAATACTCAAAGCTGTGGTTGATGAGAGATATATGTACTGTGCAGTGCAGTAAGTAGTACATGTGTAAAACACCACACAAGTAAATATCTGAATGAGCAAGAGACCACTAAATTACAGTGGGGTATGCTATAACGAACGGATCCTACTACGAATATTCCTATAACGAACGGTTTTACCTATAAAATTGAGAATGCTATAACGAACGAAGCTCCTACAATGAACATTATTTAAATTTTTTTTTTTTCTAATTTATAGTTTTTTTATTACAAATATTAATGATATTCTTTATTTCAGGGGTTTAGATGCATATTTATGCACTTTTTTACAATTTTTACAATTTTATATTATATTTTTCAGTGTTAAGTGGTTGTATTTGGGGGCCTGGAACGGATTAATCCTATAACGAACAAGGTTCTAGAACCAATTAGATTCGTTATAGCATACCCCACTGTATAAACACTGCATTGCTGGGTACTAGGACTGTGTGGAAAGCAGGAGTGAATCATAATACATTTGTCATTAGTGTTCCTAGGATGCATTACTATTCCTGCAATGCCTGGTTGGTAAGGATTCAAATTTGGAGCCGGTCAAAGCATGGACTTTGACAAATCACCCCTTTGTACAATAAATTTAAGAGCGCGTGAGTCTTCATTCCATCTGTATCAGAATTACCAATTTGGTATATAGAATACTGTTTTTGGCATGCCCACATGAGGCTTTTTTTGACATTACATTCATTTGTCATCAGTATTTGTGGTATTCAAATTGTAGTGTTTTCATTCAGTTTCTTATTCCCAACATGCAATGCTTTTCAGATTAACGTTTTTAATCGTGTTGCATCAAATACTTTTAGATGCCATTCCTACCTGAAACAATCAAGTTACTGTGTTTCTCCTATTTGTTTATTCCTCATCGTAGTATACTGCCTCTGCTTGTAACACTAATTTGCAATAGATACTCTACTGTGATTCTATTTCAGATTTATTTCTGTGTGTTTTGTAGTTTTGGAGTAGTATTTAGCATTTGTTTGTTTGAGACATTATATCACTGTCCTGAATGATAGAAATAACAAGATTTTACTCTTTGCAGAATGGGTTTTGACATTACGGATGATGAAAGACGACCCTAAGAATATCCAGTATTGGAGAGCTGCTGGGAGCACAGAAGAAGCATAATGTGGGTGTGCAGCTTTTTGTGCCTTAGGGGCAGGGAAAAGGATTAATGGGAATTGAAATAACCATTAAAGATGATGGCTTAATTTATCATCCATTGGATACTGAATGCCTTTACAAGATAAAGATGAAAGCCATCAATGACTGGATGGTTATGGAAGTGTGGACATGACGTAAAGTGTTGTAAGAGTGTTGAAAGAACACTTGGAAGCTTTCGTGATTCTATGTGATTATGCAAACTATATGAATTACTATCTAGAAAGAAAGTCTGCAGACTAAGAAAATGGAATATTAAAGACTTTAACTGCAGACACCAGTCTAAATATCTCAGGCCACTTTGAATTGGAGGAACTTGTATTATTTAAATATCTAACTCCCAAAGAGGTCAAAGTTACTTATGTGATCTCTGCCTAACAAATTGTTATATCCTGCAAGAAAGAATAGCTTTGTTGATGTATACAAGAATGAGGGTGTTAAGCATTTCACCACCTCAGGTGTCTATTTAAGCAAAGTTATTTATGAAATATACTGGAGTGGTATTGATATTTATGAATATACTCTTATTGACACTTGAAGTTATAACAGTGCTTTCCAGAATGTGTGAGATTGAATGACTTGTGAAAAACTTCAGATACAGTGATTAAGTGTTGTGATCTTGTTATTCCTCTTCAAAGAAGAATATTTCTTTGGAGCAGATTTTGTCAGGAGTGTATCCATTTACTCTGTTGTCCAGTCCGGAAACACTTAATTGGGATGTGAAAGCGATTATAAAAAGGCAAAGTGTAATGTTTGGCTTCTGCTGCTCATACAAACATTTGAAGATGCGAATGCACCGTGTTTTCCTGAATATTGTGATACTTAACACGCTGTGCTTGAGGTGTTTACCTCCTTAAAGTGTCTTTTAAATCTTCTAGTCTCAAGAACTATAGTAGTGAAGTCCTACTTAGAGGTGCAACTCCCCTGTTGGTCCAGAGCTAAGGACAAAGAATTGAAAGACTCGTGGGGAGGACTTAAGGCATCTTGTGGAGGCTGCTTTACATATTATAGAGCCCCCCATCAGAAGCTGGTCATTTTGGTGGTAGACCAGGGCATTCCTGTTGGAATTCTCTCAAAGACTGCAGCAGTGGTGCCTCAGTGTACAAAGCCTAGAAGGGTACTTTTGATGTTGCCATTAATTGTTGTTACTAAAATTAATGAAGATGGTGTATCTTAATGTTTTTGTACAGAGTACTTACTTTTGAGGATTTATAAGAGAAATTTGTTAAAATACATCAGAAGATTTTTTGTGTATTTTTCCCTTATTAATATTCATTAAAAATTCTTTGTGGCAACACCATTGCAACATCCTTGCCCCAAGGCTAACCTGCAGTTGTGAAGTGGAGAGAGACAAGGTTTGGTAGCAGCACTACTGTGTGATAACACTAAAGTCATGTGGTCAATATAGTTGTTTGTGCAATGTGGTTACATCTAACTTCTACATGTATTACTGGCATGTAACCAGTGGTAATTTCTAGCCTGGTATAGTGGTGTCTTATTAAAGGTAATTTTGTTTGAATCCAGATCACCATGTATAAGCCTCACGAATCTTCATCCTAAAGGTTTAGAGCAACTAATCTTTTCACATAATGTTTGCTGCCAGACTTTTCAGCTAGCTTCTCTACTGCCTGCATTTGCTGTGTGCACTTCGTCCCAGATAGGTGTGAACTGGGCCCACTGTTGACATGTTATTTAGGCTGTGTTATTTTGTTGTGCAGAGTTGAAGTTCTGCAGTTATATGCTCTGCTGTATTCCCCAAGAGAGCCACGTAGTTTTGTGTACCAGTGAGTATCTAGTTTCTTTGTAATGGTTATGTCATCTGTTGAGAATCAAAAAAAAAAAAGTGTACAGTGCAGTGAAGTGTTCCTGAAAAAATACAACTGCAAGGACAAGAAAACCTAGTGAAAACTGTATTCTTATGTATGAATGTGCATACGTGTTCGCAGGCTCATTGCTCCAGATAGTTAAATGTGGAAACAGAAACAGTACCAGATGCCAGTGCTCTTTGGATATTTACTTCAAAAACAGTTCTGCTGCTTAGGGAACAAATCCCAGTATAAAAACAATGTGAGACTTACATATGAAAAAGTTTTCATTGGATCTCCTTTTGTGTAATGTGCATAAACCAAAGATTAATTGAACTAAGCTGTCCATTAATTGGTAGCTCTCATCCATGCTCTCTGTGACCTGAAACAGCTCACAGACTATCTTTGGGAGGTTAACTAAAGTAAGCAACACAAATTTATTTATGTATGCATAATTATATATGCATGGGATGTGCTTCACAGCATAAGACAGCTAATAGGACAGTGTACCCAGAGGATTGTGTATGAATGTGGTGTCTCTGACACACTGCCATGAGTTAGCCTGCAATCCATTTAGGTCTTGATGTCTTTGGGGAATTAATGGTATTGGGGCTCAAGGATGGGCCTCATATGACTGTGTTGTAGAACCCACCCTTTTATTTTATTTTTCATTTCATTTTTATTTTATTTTTTCCAATTGGTTGGTGACTTGTTTAAGCACCATCTTATTGCTTTTCTACTGTATCATATTTCTTTATGGGGGCTGCTGCTTAATTGCCTCCTGGGTTAGCTGCCCTGTTGAGCCTGTACAAATCTTGAGTTATAGTTTTATTTTTGAGCCCATAATGTGGATGGATATATTGACTTTTTTTTATGGGAAGCTCTAGTTAATGCTGAAATAGCAAATGCCTAACTTATGGATTTAATGTGATAAGACTCTTTCATGTTGTTACTATTTTTGTGTATTTTAGTTATTGTTGTATTTAAATTATTGTTTACATAAGGCGCAACATTCAAAAATTGTACAGGTTCAACATTACAGCTTTGAGCTGCCTTCTGTTGTTCTGATCAACGTACAAAGGCCTTGTTTTCCCCTCATTTCAGTGCTCTATGGAGGAAAGCCTGCTTCATCTGTCTAAACAATCACTCCCAGCTGTTAACAGAATTTTATGAACTGTAAACAGTACTATCTCACCCTTGCTGTTGACTTACCTTAATCTCATAGCATTTCATCAATCTGTTACCAGGTGATTGTATCATGTTAAATAGAAGTGACAGCTGCCATCACCAGGCAGCTGTGCCATGTATCACTAGACCTCACTCATGCTGTTAGCAGATAACTCGGTAACTCCAAACATTTGCTCCTTTGTTGACAGCATCTGAGATCGCCACAGAATACAGTGCCAAGAATGGATATTCAGAAGTGATTTGCTTTCTTATTTAATCCAATATGGTCAGGTCTCAAGCTATTGGCTATGTCAGTACAGTCAATATTGTGGAGGTATTGGTGTTGTCTTCCATCAAGGTTTATATGTGATATGAATTTATTCCAATGGAGAGAACACTCCAAAAACATGTGTGAGTATATGCTTCAGAGAGATATAGATAAGAAGGATTATTTAATTTTTTCTCAAATATATTTTCCCTAGCATTCCCTGGTTACTCTGTCAGCCCAGGAAAACCACAATCAACTACTTGTTCATTGCCCTACCTGTAGGTGATTCACTGTATTCTGAAGGCGTTTCTCTCGGTTATTCATTGCTGAAATGAAGTAATTTTCCAAACATACAATGTGTGCAATGTTTCAAGGCAGTTGAAAAGACCAATGTACTCTGCAATAAAGTTTCACTGCAAACACTCGCAGACTGTAATGAACTTGATTTATTGTTTCTCTCTTTCCTTTTTACACTCCAAGCTAACCAGTACTACATTCTTGAAGTGCACTAAATTGATCAACTTAGTTTTTGTATGACCACAATTTTATGGTGTGTATACTGTAATATGATGGCATTATACAGTACAGTATTTGGTTTATGTTCAATAACTTTTTCATCCATTAATTTCAGATTATTACATTTGTACTTCTTGTCCAGAGAAATCCGAATTCCTTTCAGATTTGATGATGGTATCATCATCAAATCATCATCACTACAGTTACATTGTGTGATTGCTAACATTTAAAGACTTAATAATTTTGTTCTCATTCTTTTTCTTTAAATATTACTGCATTTAAAATTTTTAGACATTGATACATTAAGTGTAAAGATCAAACTAAGTTTATCTGTTATAACAGCCATCACTATAAAGTTCTGCCCATATATTTTCTGAAAAGAAGGTAGGATAAACCACTTAGCTGCATAATTATTAAGAATTGAGAGATCATCACTTATCTAACATTGACTTAAAAATTTTTTTGTATCCATTACCTTTATATCCTCCCAACAACTGAATTTACAGGAATAGGAATGGTTTCTGTTTTGTCTTATTGCTTAATGTCCTTTGTCATGTAGCTCCCATTACTGTACTGAGTTGGGCTTTTGGGGCTCGTCTGTCCTGCCTCACCCCCCAGCCCCCCTCTCTCAATCACACCCACTGCCCTTAAAAGAGGGAGACTAAAACCAAATGTTTCCCTCAGGAGGCAAGAGACCTAATTAGGGAGGAACTGCCTAGTCTACCTCATGTCATCACAACAGGTTTTCATCTCTTAAGACCAGTTTGTCATTGTACTGTGGTCCCAGCAGACACAAAAATGGTCTCATTAAATCTCCCTAGCCTTGTATGATAAAAGGGAAGTGTATGCGCCATTATGAAACCTGAGGTTTAGGTATGAGCATAGTAAATGTAAGATAATTTGCCAGACCTGTTGTTTAGTAAAGTTTGATTACATGTTCTCTCAAGTTATTGAGAGTCTTGGGGCACATGTCGTGGGGTGCTGGCTAATAAACTGCTACACCTTTATCACATGCTAGTTAAACCCAAACTGGATTATGGGTGTGAGGTGTACTCCTCAGCCACTGAAGCAAGATTCAGTACACTGAACTCTCTTCATCATGCTGGGGTGCATCTGGTGACTGGTGCCTTCTGTTCTTCACCAATCCAAAGTCTACTAGATGATGCTGATGAGCCACCCCTTGATCTTCAATGTCAGTATCTCCAGGTCCAGTGTTGGTTTCACCTCCACTACCTTCTGCAGTCTGCAACCAACACTAATGTAGCTGACAAGGCTATGTCCCCACCCTACAATGAGCATCCAAGCCTCCCACGACCTTTCGGCTTCAGGGTAAGGGAGGTTGTGAGTATTGTTTGTCTTCTTCCTGTTCAGATATGCTCCATGCGGTTCCCTAGTGCCACTCCGTGGATTCTCTCTGAAGTTCATGTTTGTCAGTATTTTAATGAAAGGAAAGTTTTACTCCTTCCCTATGTGATTCATTTTCCTTTTTTAGAGTAGTCTTCCACACTATGGCATCTATTTTTACTGCACGTCTGTCGGGTATTTTCCTTGCCCTCAAAATTAATTTTACCCGACCTAGGCGATTTAAAATTTTTTAGTGATTCTCATAGTGCTCTCCAGGCCGTATCTAGTGTCTCATCACCCCAACCCTTAGTTATGTATATTTTAAAATGGCTGTTTTTCATCTAACGTCGGGGCCGGAAAGTCAGTTTTTGCTGGGTTTCAGCCCTTGTGGTGGAGAAGGGGAATGAGCATTCTGATGCTGTGGTGAAAACAGCTGCTTCTTGCCCTGTGGCACGTCATTCCCCTCTACTTGCCTTTAATGTAAAGTAAATAATGAGAGCCGCTATCGACTCGAGTTGGCAATGCAGGTGAGATGTTGTCGGAGCAAACAGACTCCGCAACGTCAACCCTTCGTTGGGTGCCTGGGGATATCGGGAACTGTTGCACCACCTGGAGACTGCTTTGGCCCACTGCCATATTGGCCACACCTGGCTGAATCATGGTTTTTTAATGGAAAGGGCACTGACTCCCCATTGTGATAACTGCCTGGTCCCATTGACTGTTCGACACCTGGTGGAGTGTCCAAGTCTCTCTTTGGTGCTGGGGGTGGTCGTCCTCTCCTTCATGGAGGAAGCAGGCCTTCTACACAAGCTTTGACTTTTTATTTATTAACGTTTATTTTATTTTTTTTTATTTTTAATTTTTTTTTTTACGAAACTTCTGTTATTTGTTACTTATGTTTTTTACCTTACATTATTTGATTTTAGTCTCTTAATCCTTTTATTTAGTGACATATGACCTAAGCTGTTTCATTGCCAGGGATGTAATTACCACTATCATTACCATTACATGCTCTTTTGACCCTCTCCAAGTCCAAGCCAGCATGCTGGAAGTCCAGGGGCAGATCAAGGGGGGGGTCTGGACCCCCTTTTCATCAGATACTTTTTCTTTAATGCAGTATTGTACTCAGGCATTTTTGTATAGTAAAAAGTAATTACTATTGTCCTCAGAATATCTCCTAATATCAAATGCACGTCTTCAAAATGGCATATTTTTCCTCCATCATTTGAATGCAGTAGTAATGCCTTGGCTTCAAAATGGTTTAGAAAGGTCTTGAGTAAAAACTGAGATTTTGTTTCACCATTAGGTCTCAGATCAGTGGAATTAGGTTCTTAGAGAGTTTGTCTGAAATACTGGAACAGGCAATGATTGTGCCGGCTTTGGCAATTAACTCAAATAGTTAATGTCTCGTCCACAAATTTGCCATAGATGACAGTTTTTCCTTAGGGTAGGCTCACCATTTTGTGGCTAATATTTTATCATGGTCCAAAAACCTAAGGGGGATTGTAGAGTGATTTTTTACTGAAATATCTAATCAAGTGTGTCCTGAGGAAAAGTTTTGGATGGCTATGAGTCAAGTGAAACTTGGTCTTTGGTTAGGAATGTGGTTTTTGCCCATTGTTTCCAGGATTCTTATTAAATTGAATAGGAAGTTCTTCCAATTATAGCTCTTCCTTTTGGTATAGAAGTAACTCCAGAGTTCCTCACAAAACTGTTGGGTATTGATTAATTGATTTATTGAGGTAGATGACTGTGTTAAACTTTGGCTGGATCTGAACATGACAGATAGAGAAACATTGCCCTTCTTTTCAACATTTCCATTTTAAATGAAACCTTTGGTTCCTTGTCTTGCTTCGTTTGTAAGAGGTTTATTATGTTCTCAATGATCAGCATACAGGTATCTGATGATATCTATAAAAATGGGGCCTGTAGGTCATTGCCCAGTGGAAAGTTTCGAGTAATGTGTTTCCTGTATTTAAGCTCTTCCTCTTCCATCACTGCAACACACATTGTAGGAACATCAAACAGAAGCATATGGTCGATAGTTTGAGTCAAACTATCGACTTGACGCTTTGTCAAGATGTAAGGCATGCCATCTGATGGATGGATATTAGATGATGAGTACAGTCTCTCCTTGACTTACGACGGGGTTCTGTCCTGATGACCAGGTCATAAGTCGAATTGGTCGTAAGTCAAAAAGGTGAAAATAATACATAGAAATTCTAAAATGGGTCTCTTTTTCTTCTCAGCACCACGAGAACTCTCACTTTTAAGCTTGCCAGCCATTTTAAAGGGAATTACAAACAAAAATTTTTAAAGTACACAGCGCAATCACAAACGTCAGGACTCGAAAATACGTAATGTGAAAAATATTTTATACGACCATGGCCGTCATATGTCCGGGTTGTAGTAAGTCGAGGAGAGACTGTACTTGGATTCATTTTCTGCAGATTAATCTTTTGGAAGATAATTTTACAATAAAGATAATTGGAAAGCCTTTTTTTGTTGCACCTATCCCTCAAGGCAGTGTTTATAGAATAATGTAGATGCTTTCTCCATGGGTTTGGGACTTTGGGACAAATAGGAGTCTTTAATCCTGTTTCTTAGTTTCTTCAGGTTATAAAGACAAATTCTTTTTGTAGAATTACAGTTGTGCTCACACCATTTTGGCCTTAGATGGAATTGGTCTCCTTTCTGCTTTAACTTCATCCAAACTCTTCTATTTCATTTTCCTTTTCTGTGTCAGAAGATTGAAGAAGACACGGTTTTCTGTCAACAATGTCAATTTTGTAGATTTCATACAATATTTGTTTTCCTCATGCTACTTCATATCCCAGGTGTAGGTTTGTTTTTGTTCTTTTGATGTTTCATCTTTGGTTTCTAGATTGTGAAAGTTTACTTATAGCTACTTTTAGATGAGGAAGACTCCATTTCCCATACAGTAAAGTAATTATCTTTTGCTTATGTTCAATTTGCTAGTTAACAACAGTTTGTTTGTCTGTGGATAGAATAACTGGGGATGAACAGGAACCTTTGCGCACTACCATAATTCCTTGACCAACTTGACAATAGTCACAAATTAAGTACAGTATACTGTACTTACTAGATTTATTAGTGCTGTCATAGTGGTCAAGTAATTATAGTGAACGTATATCAACGTTGGTTCTGTTCATCCTCAGTCTTACCAATTTGTCTCTTTTTAAGTCCAATACCCAGTTTAGTTATTTCAGGTTCTGTGGAATTTTATTTTATGACTTTATTCTGGTATGGGTATAGTTTTGTGGTGGTGGTGGCTGAGTGATTGTTGGTGTTTGAAGTAATACAACTGTGAATTATCATTATCTTTAATTACATTACATATCACAATTATCAAATACTGTATATACATTACATACACAAGTATGGAAATTCACAGGAACATATTACACTTTCCATGTATGATTAAAAATACATTTAAAGCTTCAGCAACCTCAGCAGATGATGATAAAGACGAAGGTAACGAGGAGGCGTAAAGGGTGGTAGACGAAGGAGATAGTGAAGGAGTACAGTATTTGGAAATGAGGAACTGATGAGCTAGTGGTTGATACCTAGTCTGCTCTCATGACTGAGCTGAACTTATTTCTAAAGCTGTAGGGCAAGTATTCCTGTCTAGAAATGCAAGCTTTCTACCCACATTTGTTTTGATTTATACAGTACAGTATATATATTATATATTGAAAAAATGGTGGAGCAACTAAAGTCAATGAAATGGTTGTTGCCCTGGCAAAAACAACAGTATTTAATCATTTATTTCATTGCTAAATTCAAAGAATTTAAATCTGAGTACAACTCTGACAATAGTTTCATGGCTAAATTCTGATCATGTCTGGTGGGTGTCGATGAGAGCAGGAAAAAGGACCCACTACTGAAGTATAAACATGAGGAGTGTAGGGGGACATGGTGGTGAGAGTGATTGTCTAGTGGTCACTGGTCCCACAGGCCACTGGGCTCCTGTCAGAGCCCCCGCCGGGGACGTACTTTAAAAGTGTTTCGGCAGTTACCTAAATCAACTTAACGGAGTTTGGTCCCAACAAAGTTGTGGCAAAGTTTATACAATTCCATTTTTGGATGAGGAAAATGAAGTTATTCACAAAAGTGTTAGAAGAGGGTAAATGTATTGCGAAGACCAACTCGGCTAAGGATGCGTCTAAGACACAGCTTGAAGCGGAATGTCTTGTTGTCCACTAAACATTGAGACTAGTTGAGGCAGAGGGTGGCTTCGGCGTCTTTCTAGTTGGCTCGCCGATTCCAGAACTCAGGTCAAGACTTTATACAATGTACGTATAAAGTTCCTGTGACAGACATAACTGTTGCTAAAATCACCCGATTTCTATGAAACTACAAAAATATCTACTGGGTTTAAATTTTATCCGAAAAAAGTCGAGATTATCGCTTCTGTCCATGTTCAAAATTCTCCACTTTTAATGATTCACATTAATGGATGGCTGAGATGAGTGCCAAAGGTCACTACTTTTCTGAGTGAAGTATAACACCACACTCAATCAGAGCTACTCCTCTCATAGACCAATGTACAGTGGCATTCTGAGGCAGGATAGTAGACGTCCTCTCAACACTACTGCAATTGATTTGGTAACGTGGGCGTCATTGATACTGTGGATAAAGGGCCTAGCCACTACACACCATACACTGGGTCACAGGATAAGTTCATGTGTAGGTAACTTTGATGGGAGATATAAATATTAACATAATGCCTCGGTGGCTTGTGTTTAGAAGAGAATGTAAAAAGTCATCGTTTAAAACAAATTGAGGACAACAATTTTCTAACGTATTTTTTTATATACATATACGAATGTATTAGAAGTGTTTCAACACATGGATTATAAAGAGTGTCCTTTAAACGTCAGTACGTGCTTTACCACAGCACTGATGCCCTCTCATGTGTCCCCTGAGTAGATCAGATTTACTGTTCACTGATCCCCCAGGAGCGTTGTCCTTGTACTCTGCCTTCAAGATCCCGGTGGGCTTCACACTACTCGTCACTCAAGCATAAGAGTGGTTGTCCAGGTCTACAGAGAGTGACTGCTTGCCCCCTCGATCAGTCCAGTATTTAAGCTTTCCTCTTAGCTCTTCCAGCGACCTTGACTTGGCTTTGTTGATGCGCCTGTATTTGACATCTTTGGGTTTGGTGACAGATCTGTGGTTGCTCATGACGCGGTTGTACGTCACCTGGATCTCCTCCTCTGCCTTGACTTTGATTGGAGTCGCACCAAGAGTATTAAGTTTTTCGTAAGATCCCAATAGCCGCCTTCTGTCACTGGCTGAATCATCAAGGTGGCGAACAATATCCTCTTCCTCCTCACTCTCTCCATCACTCAGCGTAGCATCTGAGTCGTAGTGTGAGGTAACTTTGAGGATAGACTGCAAGGAGGGTGTCACTGAAGGAGTGAGGGAGGGTGTCAGTGAAACGGTATCCTCCAGTAAGGAGTCATGTCCTTGATGTGTGTGACATATTTCTTCCTCTTCTAAGCTATAAACTGTTCTTAATAACTCCGCTCGGCCTTTGGTAAGAGTGCACGCTGGACTGTCGTCACTTTCCTCACTGGAACAAGAAGGGGACGTCGAAAGAGAGCCCGGCCCAGTACCAGAGGTAAACCCAGGCTTAAGTAATGAACTGTTGCCTGAAGCTGTCATTGCATTAACAGCAGGCATGGTTGCAGAGCAAGATGACCTATTGGCCACCTCTACAGCATCTGATACACTCCTCACAACTTTAACTTCTCCCTTCCCCATTGGTATCAACACGAGAGAATCAAAATTGTCTTCAAGCATAATGGCGCTGTCACTATCGTTGAGGCTTTCCGGGTCACTCTTCGTTGATGTGATCAGCAAGCTTGAAGTCTTTTCGTCTTTGTTAAGTGTGTCCTCGCCGTTCTGGGTTTCTTTAGACTTGCCAGGAGCCTTGTTCCCTTGTTCCTTTGCATTTTGGTTCGAGTTTTCAGCCACTTGTCGCACCTTCTGGTTGGCGTTGAGAGCCCGGGACAGAGAGACGATGATGTGCTGCTGCTGACGGATAGTGGCATCTTTCTGCTGAAGCAACACCTCCACTTCTTTCTGTCGCCGCCGCAGCTGTGACTCGAACAGCAAAAGCTGAGACTGAATGGTGCGTAGGTGGTCATCTCGTTCCCGCTGAAGGTGCAGCAACAGCAGGTTCTGAAATACAAGATCACACGTTAGATATAGGCTTCCAAACTTCAATGAACTTTGGTGCATGATTATATATTTTGTGACGAGATACATTATCTAGAGAGCTGTGCTCAAATTTGAATTTTTTCTTCAAAATAAAGTATGTAAAAAGTTTATACAGTGCAGTACTTAATTGACTTAAAGTGAAAATAAAAAGATGCTAGTATTTGTGATATATGAATGAAAATCTCGGCAGTTAAATGTCACACAATGGAAACCATTCTTATTCCCCTACCAACCCTCCCCGTCTTCCATTTATACGCACCTTAAAATATACTATGCACATATATTAACAAAGTTTTTGATCACTAATAAATACTGGATAATACTCTAAAACAGGGGTCCTGGTTAACTACAGCAACCTTAGAAAATTTCTCTGTAGAAGATAGCTATTCTCTTACCTCAAGAATATTCCAAAACACGTGGCGTTGCATTTTTTTTTCGTTCTGAACACTAATGTACGGTGACGCTATATTTAAAATATACAGTATATGCAGCTGACAGATACTGTGTATAATTTTAAACAATCTATTGTGACCAGGATTTGGCGATATTTCTTGTTTACAGAAATTACAGGTATGCACACGAATTTTGTATTTTGACATTGTAATTATACAATACGAATTGATATGCAATTCCAGAACAAAGAGAAGCGGATTTATCTGTACGTAGCATATAGCACTATTAGGCTTCTCTAGTAATCAGGATGACCAAAGTATACAAATTGTTTAAAGCACTTATAAACGTGCTTTAAAAATAATTACAATGGCATTTCTATGAAAAATTGTGTCATCATGGGTTGAAGATTCGGAAAAGGTCGACCACGGAACGAAATATTTATATTTAATTACGGAGATAGAGAAAAAAAATTACGTTTCCGTCGCAAATTTATATTTTTGTGTATTTTGGACTTATCGATTTCACACAGGAACTTACATTTGACAGGAGACACTGTTTACACTGACTCACACGAGTATGCTCCACCGATCACCGTGAGTCTCGGTGAATTTTTGTTGACAGTTGGCCAGTAGCAAAATGGTTTCTCTGTGCATTGGTGTTCTTTCTCGGCTTGGCAAATGATTCATCGTGTACTTGAAAACGAAGCCGCTGTCATTTATATTTTTAAGGTTCACTGTATTCTGCCAACCTCTGTGAAGTGCTACAGGCTTTCATATGCAAAATATACCGTCGAACGATTGTGGTGCTTCGTGCCAGCCGAATACAACAATCTTCTAGCATCTGTTAATTAAGGTAAGTTTTTTACACAACGGGGGTCACCCCCTGGCTAGGACCTTTTGGCTTTTCTGGTTTGGAGATTTCGTTAGGTTTAGTTTCGTCATTTTTTTTTGCGTGTTTGTACCCCAGTCCACTTTGTGCAACCACTGTTGTTGGTAATTGGGAGTTAAATCTCCGTAATGGCTTATTTGCGATGGAAGTGAAGGCGAGATTCGCTTGAAACATCCCAAAATACACTAGAACAACTATTTTTGTTAGTTTCCGTGACCGACCTTTTCAGAATCCTCACCCTTTCTCGATATAAAATAACTGTACATGACAGAGATATCAATGATAAGTAACAGTAACCTGGAATAGTTTGTTGACATCGTGAGACTGTCTTTAGTAGGCGGGAGAAGACGCGGTTAAGTAGGAGTTTGGCGGGAGAAGTATGTATGAACAACTACTTTGCAACGCCAGTAAGGGGACGATGAACAGCCTCCACCATAATGGTACAGCCCCGCAAGCGAGGACAGCTACACTGACCCACCTGTCATCAAGCACTTTCTCCCCAAGATCTAAACATCAATGTTACGTCCAATATTGCTTAGGGTGATAATAATATCCGGGCTTTAAAATCCCACTATACACTTAAGAAGACGCTTTGTCCAGTAATATGTGCAAGAATCTCACCACGTACGTGACGCGAATTTTACAGTCTCTTGCGGGTCACATAAGTTGACACGGCGACTCAATGCGGCGGGGCTTATCTTAAAAGAAACACCATTACTAAATCCGGGGCCACTTGAGGGTATGTTTGGTCTGTACGGGAAATTTATATTGTAACTAAATACTTGGGCTACTTTAATATCAGGAAAAAAAATAGAAAATACAAACGCATCACATAATATCCAATAAACATCTGACGAAAGGTTAGGTTAGACCGTACGCTTTAGCACCCCTTTCCTTTGGTAATTTGAGCATCGAGTGCTGGTTAGAATTTAAATTGTATTTACAAAATGATCCGTGACACCTAGCAACAAGAGTCTGAAAACCATGTCATTATAAGCACAGATTCGACCACTTTTTTTTATTGATCCGCGCCCCCGACCGGGAAGATCACTCAACCCAAATACCAGACACGGCGGCCTCTGGTACCAAGTATGTACTTCCTTATGACCGGTACTTCACCAACCAAGAGGGTTTGATGCGGAGTAGGATCCTCCTATGCTAGTTCTCACTAGAATATTTGGAAACATATGAAAGTGCAACTGTTCATTGTTACTGAATTCTTATTTACCAATTAAAAAGGTAATGACTGGGTGGCAACTCATCATCGTTGACCCGGGGGAGTACTTGACGTTTGGAATAATAATTACATACAATTACATCTTATTATCAAGTGATTCCAATATTAAAAAAAAAGGCCGAGTGGTTTTGGAACTGACAAAAGCATGGAGAGATTCACTAGTGTAAGTTGGCGGTGAACAAGGGAGAAGTGCGAATCTCCGAGCGCTGACCCACACTCCGACCAGCCAGCTAGTTAGACTGCTTCCTTGTCTTAACACTTTACTCTCATGTATCTTCAAAGCTCCTCTCTTCTCGTGCCTCCTTAAAACTGATACGAATTTGTATAAGATGGCTTCAGTAAGTAGTCATTATTTTTCATTATTTTATTTATTATGTTGTTCATTTCCTTCATCTTAGTGAACCACTGCCCATATTCCTAGCAACTCGCTATGCTGTGTCTGTATCATAGAGCTCCTATATTCATTACACAGTCTTGTCATTGTCAGGGTGCACCCGGCATGGCGATTATGCACTTCACTGTCTCTCTTCCTCTCAACGCTTTTATGCTTCGTCAGTTTGCTGCACCCCATCTTGTGCTGGCTGGCGTCTGTTTACCTTATCGCTAGGTATTGTTATATAAATTACTTTTTCAAGGCTGTGGTGTCATTTGTCTTGATATACCGTATATACTAATTAGCGAAAAGAGAAGTAGTGGCGAATGTGTTCTCCGAAAGCATGAATTGTGCAGGGTGTGGGCAGCGGGTATGTTTTGTTATATAAACAAAAAGGTGTGTACACATAACTGCGTGACTTCATAACGCAGGTGCTAATTCAGGTCAGTCACCTTTAAAGAGTCGTATTGTACAGTATGTGAGGTGTTGCCATACTGAAGAGACTCATGCTCCAGTGATACAAGCAGTTCCTAAATGGCCAGTAAATACGAGGCAGATCTAACAAGCGTAAGTAACCTAGAGGTGAGAGTAGCTGTACGGTCGCCCGCCATAACATTTTGGGTCATCTTGTGAATGTAACACGTGGGGAAATAATTAGTGGGGGTGAGCGAGGGTCCAAAATACTGAGGAGGGCTGTATATATATTTCACAAACGAATTCTAAAATATGATTTCAGTGTGGTTTCTTTAGAGATTACTTGAATATGTTTAGTCACAATTAATAAAACTCAAGAATTTATCTTTGTTGAGTTATAGTCCATCCTGGGAAAAGATTTTGGATCCAGGAAGCCAACCAGAACACGAACGCAGTAAGGGTGTGGTATAAAAGTCTCAACAGACACCTCTTATGGGCGTTGTGGTCATGCTAGAGCAGTTTGCATGACTTCCTTGTGTGACACCCCATTATGTAGACACCTCAGTGTTATATTCCGTATAAAAATGAAAGTGATCGTTATGTTGTATCATATATTTGTCTGTTCACACAATAATTGTGACGTTAAGAAGGCCACAACTGCAAAAACATTACTTGAAAATCCCCCGGTCGTTTGTACCTTTAGCAAACACTGTCGTAAGATCATATGTATAATGTTGAGCGATATTACATTAACATTACTGTTCCCAGAGAGGATTATAGAACAAAGATTTGTCTCGTCAGACCTTTTGCCGTCTACGGAAATCACTTCTTTTACGCAGGACGTAGTGCCCACTTTCTATATTATTTTTACACCTGCACTGTATTACCTCAGATGTAGACTGCAAAACGTTATCAGTTATGTCGCCAGTGAATACGGTTACTGGGTATACATTGAGGATGGAACAGAGATAAGCTACGACCATAACCAGAATACAGTATTAAGCTTCTATAACACACACCAACCATCTCTATTAGTAAGTCCACTCACCTGGATATCAGTAATCACACGACCAAACAGCATACAAGTGGAGGCACGAGCCCACCGTAAGAATGCCAAGTAAAGCTGTTGACCAAATAAGGGCACGACTATGGCAGTATGAGCGGGTGGGGGCCAGAGTGACCATGGAATGTTACGCAGCTTCTCAGGACAAGACATCTTGTAACTCTACCATGTCGGTACAGATAGGTCGTTTATTCCAACTTGGAAGACTGGCTACGCTGCTTTGCATGAGTGGGTACACTGCTTTACATGACAGACACGCTTCTTTGGCCAATAGGTCATGTTACTTTTAACTTTAGACGCCAGCCTTGGGATACCCTATTATTGCCTTACACTGGCGGGGGCATTAATACCAGGACACCTACCCCTACTACCACTCGACTGACTTTAGGAGTTTAGGTTGAGAGCATCACCATCATGGTACAGGAGGGAGGCGTGGTCTCGTCCACCGTCATCCCATTATCCAAGATTCGATTAACCCATTCTTATTAGCCCAAAACGACGCGTGGCGTTTGATATACTGCCAGCATTTCTCTTAATTTATGGGAATATATTGGCTGTTTATGTATACACAATTTAAAAAAATAGCATCTTCA